CCAAGAACACAAGAGCCGCGGGGTTTTGTCCGAGTGTTATTGTGTGGTGAAAATCATCCGTGCGCAGCCCCAGAGGCAGAGAGCACAGCTGATGGCTTTATTTAAGAGGCCGTGTCAGCGGGTCATTGCCTTATCACTCTTAAAAGCTTATAGTAGAGCTTCAGGACAGACCCATGATCCATTTACAGACGGCTCACACAATGCGGCATTTACAGGCCGAGAAACCAGACCGCCGTAAATGTGACCCGCTGCACTTCAGTCTGGATCAATACTGGAGATGCTGTACGGAGAGCAGCGCTGTGATGGATTTCTGACAGGGTTATAGACACAAACACCGTAACCCAACACTCTTTGACATGCACACTCATGATAAGCTGTCCATAAATGCCTTTTGTTTTATTTTAAGTAGCGATGCACCGGATTTTTTGGCCGATACCGATAACCGATAATTCTTCAGACTTGGAGGCCAATAGCCGATATTTATAGGCCGATAATTATAAATATTTCAAAATGTTATATTTTTATACAGCAAACTTCATAAAAGCACTTTTGAACTGAATAGCCTATACTCAAAGCAAAAAAGGTATGATTTCAAAATTACCACGTAAAGAAACCAGGGATTTTGAGGGAATAATCAGTGTGAGGAGAGATCCATGAACAAGTCTGAACAAGTTCCGCCCCCGCGTGCGCGGCAGCAATTGACGTAATTTATCGGCTTAAAGATATCGGCCTAATTTAGACATCGGATCGATAACGATAATCTTAAAAATAGCATTTATCGGCCGATACCGATATGGTCTCCGATATATCGTGCATCCCTAATTTAAAGGGATAGTTCACCCAAAAAGTGGGAAGAAACCTTTTGAGTTTCTTGAGTCTGTCGAACACTAAAGAAGATATTTTGAAGAAGATATGATAAAGGTGGCGACATAGTGGCGCAGTGGGTAGTAGCAAGAAGGTCGCTGGTTCGATCCTCGGCTCAGTTGGCGTTTCTGTGTGGAGTTTGCATGTTCTCTCTGCGTTCACGTGGGTTTCCTCCGGGTGCTCCGGTTTCATCAACAGTCCAAAGACATGCGGTACAGGTGAATTGGGTGTGTGTGAGTGTGTGTGTGGATCTCCCCCGGAGATGGGTTGCGGCTGGAAGGGCATCCGCTGCGTAAAAATGTGCTGGATATGTTGGCGGTTCATTCAGCTGTGGCGACCCCGGATTAATAAAGGGATTAAGACGACAAGAAAATAAATGAATGAATGATTTATGTGTATACTTCTTCATCGAGAGATCACCTGCAGCGCGGATTATATTTATTTCTAAAAGGCTTACAGTTAGATTATGTATTAAATACATTTACAAAGACGAAAACGAAGAAGGTTTTTTTAATTGTAGTTAGTTTCAGTTAGTTATGTTTTTACACAATACAGTTTCAGTTAGTTATAGTTTTTTTTAAAAACTCTCGTTTTTAATTTTATTTCAGTCAACGATATTTATTTAACATTTTAGTTTTCGTTTTTTCGTTGGAGCACATCTGATCATTTCTGGAAGCTGATTCCAGCAGCGGGGGGCGCTGTTAGTCGCTGAAAGCCGATTTACCCTGCTTTGACTGAACTCTTGGAGTTTCTAGTTTACTTGATCCTAGAGATCTGAGTGATCTGTAGGCCCACACGGAATCTGCGCCTGCAGATTTTCCACAGATTTCTGCAGGACTTTTAGCCCATCATTAATTCTGTTTATTTACTTGAGTAAATGTGTAAATCTGAATTTATTTAGTTTTTATTCAGTAATTTATGACTTTTTATTTATTATATTAAGGTGTTAGTTCTGATACTCCCAAAATAATTCCGCAGAAATCCGCAGATTTTTACCAAAATTCTCTGCAGAAATAGCAAAAAACGTCCGCAGATTATGTCTGGCCCTGGTGATCTGTTTGTATTCAGTGAGCATATCTGTAATGTATTGAGGTCCTAGGCCATTTAGTGATTTATAGATCAGTAGTAATACTTTAAACTAAATGTAACTGGGAGCCAGTGTAAAGACCTGAGGACAGGTGTGATGTGCTCTGATTTTCTGGTTTTGGTCAGAATTCTGGCCGCAGCGTTCTGGATGAGCTGCAACTGTCTGACTGTGTTTTTGGGAAGGCCAGTGAGGAGGCTGTTACAGTAATCCACCCTGCTGCTGATAAAACCATGAACAAGTTTCTCTAAGTCTTCACTGGAAACAAAGCATCTGATATCTGCAATGTTTTTGAGATGATAGTATGCTGGTTTACTCACTGCTTTGACATGATTACTCAGATATGACTCCAGAGTCACACCAAGATTCTTAACCCTTAATTTTTGTTGTTATTGAGCCGAAAGTCTTAGTTAAGGGTTTGTTAGTAGCATTAAAATAAAGTGTGACCTAAAAACATCTATAGGACAAAGACAAGAAGAAGAGGAGGGAAAGGCAGAGACAAACAGCGTAGTTAACAATCAACAATTTAGGATTTTTTTATAGCTATTTAGAAGTGTGTGTGTGTGCGCTAGAGATGCAACAATACAGTTAGCCCACGGTTCAGTGAATACCTCGGTTTTTTAACACGGTTTTCAGTTCGGTTCTCATGGCTTGACGTGTGTTTTTTATTTATTCTATAGGCAATAGAGGTCGAGGAGAAAACAATAAAAACGATTTATTGCAATACTTATTTTGTTTTACTTAAAAGCCAGGAAAAGTGCTGCAGTTCCTAGAGTGTTGTATAAAAAAATGAACAGTGAAATCTCACAGCTGCTGGTCCCCATGTACAAACTGGGAACACATCAAATCCTACACTTTGATGATAAACACACATGTGAAGTTGATAAAGATAAATTGGCCATTTCAGATAAACATATTTGTCCTTCAGTAAACATAAATAAAGCATCTTCATTATCTCACTGCTGGAAAAATGCCAGACTGTAGTCTGTAACGCGGATCGAGTGCTTTTATAAGATGACAAAAGCCCACATCTCCAATCACCCAAAACGGCTGCAACTCTTTAGCAGTAAACACCCGCACTGCCTTTGCTATTTTATGTGTCTCTCTGAGCCAGTTGGGTTTGTTTGCTGGAAAGATTCAGTAAGGGATTGTTGATATTTGGAGGACTTTATTGCCTTCTCTGCTGTCCTGCTTCAGACAGTGATGTTGCTGGGTGATGGTGCTGCAGATGTGCAGTCGTGGTTATACGTGTAAATCAATGCTTCACACAGTTATGTTTTTCTTGTATTGGCATTATGCTTACCAGCAAAACCGAAATGTCCTCACACCGCAGATTTGAAAGACGCCGGCGCTTTCTCGTACTGTTGCCTTACTTCGCCGGCGCTTCTTTGTACTGTTGCCTCACTTCACCGCCGCTCGCCATGTTAAAGTGTGGAATGGTGCTTAAGCGCCCCCTAACTTTAGAGCATAGTGATTGATTAAGTCTACTCAGCTTGTAGACTTACAGGCACACACAGTCAATTCAGGGAGATATAAAAAACACATAAATTATTTAAACGCAAAACCAAGAAAACCGCAATTCACAAGCGCGTACTGAACCGTGGAGGTCGTACCGTACGGTTCAATATTATATTGAGACCTGTGGCATCCCTAGTGTGCGCTCACCCTCTCTCTCTTTCATTTTTACAGCACACTCATTTAGCAGATTTGTCTAATGCATGTGTGTGCCAGGTAATAATTTTAGCGCTCCACAATGAACTGATGGCGCGCTCGTCTGCCAATGTTTGGAGAAACACATCCGACAGTCGTTTTCAACTCATTGTGTTGTTTAGTTCGGCCAGAGAAAGCAATCTCACTAAACACTGATGGGGCTGCAGCTTTAAAGGGGACCTATTACACAAACATCTCTTTCATATGTGGTGAAAGAGCAGTGTGTGAACCCGGGTGAAAAAAATATATAATTAAATGCAATTAAAATATACTTCAATACCCACAAATACATGTTTAGCACATTGTTATTTTTTTGTGTTAAATAAAAGTTTGATGGTTTTACACTGTAAATATACTAATTAAAAGTATGTTTATACTTCAGTAGGACTTAAGTACACTTCACAAAAGTAAACTAAATACCAGTAATACTTAAATAAATCTTTAGTGTACTACAATAAAGTACACTACAGAAAAACATCCAAGAGTTTTATTAGTGTGTTTTTCAAAAGTGTGCTTTAAACATGAGTTGATTTTTAATACACTGTTTACATACTAATCCTAAGTTTAAAATAAGTTAATATATAAAAATCTATTAGTAATGTATTGTAGTAGAAGCACATTTTCCCAAAATGCTTGTAATACAGTATTTAGCACACTTTTTACAATTAGTATATTCTTTTAATATATTACTATTATACTTTAAATTAGTCATAGTTATATTTATAAATGTTTAAAATTAGGGTTCAAGTGTATTTCTAGTTGTAACTAAATATATATATTTTAAAATACAGATATAGTATGTTAAAAGCACATTTTAATTCAATTTCAGAGTGTCTCAAAATAGCACAGTTGAGTGCACTTAGATGATATTAAGCTTATCTTAACATATACTTAATACTATCTTTTAGTACATTAAGTACAAAATTAGTGTGCGAAAATAGAGCACTTTTAGTACATTACTGAAAAGTGTACTAAGTATACTTAAATAAAGTGCATTTTAGTGCACTTTTATTTTTACCTGGGAATATAGCCAGCCCCTAATGGTGAACTTGATTTCATTCTATTTGTTTATAATCAGACTTGATGAAAACAGTCTGCAGACACACTTTGATTGACATTCTCCCGCTGTACGTGTCATCAGAGGGGGAAAGCCCCGCCCACTGGTGACCATCTCTCCCTCATTAGCATCAACAGCAGCCCTGAGTGAGAAGCAGCCGTCCACTAGCCGTTAGAGTTTGAGTGTATTTCATAATGGTGACCTCGAAACACAGAAGGCCGGCTTCAGGCTGAATGTTGCTCATTTTGATTTCTGAATGTGTGTGTGTGTGTGTGTGTTCTGTAGGAGCCACGGAGGAGCCGGAGGTGATTCCAGACCCGGCCAAACAGACGGATCAGGTGGTGAAGATCGCCGGCATCAGCGCTGCTGTGCTGGTCTTCATCCTGCTGGTGCTCGTAGCCATCCTGCTGCTCAAGAAACGGTAGGATCTGTGTGTGTGTGTGTGTGTGTGTGTGTGTGTGTGTGTGTGTGCGTGCGTGTGTTTACTCTGAACTACCCACCAGCACACCAGCACCCTCCTCCACTGCCATCCCATTACATCATCAACAGGAACAGACCGTCAGCATCGGACACGCACACACACACACGCCCATACACACATACACTCATGCACATATGCACACACACTTATACAAGCACACTCCCACACAAACACACTCACTTACCGACACACACTCACTCTCTGACGAACACACGTGTACCCTCTCAAACAAACACACACTCACACACAGACACTTACTTACACATACAAACACAAACACACACTCATACCCACTCTTTCTCACACACACACACAAACAAGCACACAAACAAGCACACTCCTACACACAATCAAACACAGTCACACACACACACATACACACACTTACACTTGCACATACAAACACAAAAACATCCATACACACTCTCTCTCACACACACACTCAACCACACATAGTTTCACAGATTTACACACACACAAGCACATTCCTACACAAACTTGCTCTTATACACACTCTGTATGTTCCACATTCCTACAAAATTACACACTCATGTACACTCAAATGCACACACACACTCACACACACTCAACCACACACAGACACGCATACAGACACAATCACACACACACAAACACAAGCACACTCCCACACGAAACACATTCAAACACACTCTTTCTCTCTCTCTCTCTCTCTCTCTCTCTCTCTCTCACACATACACACACACACACACCTACACAAACAGACGCACACTCATGTACACCCAAACGCACACTCACGCACACACTCAACCGCACACAGACACACTCATACTTATGCATACAAACACAAATATAGACCAATACGCACTCTCTCTCTCACACACACACACACACACACACACACACACACTCATGTACACTCAAACGCACACACACTCAACCACACACACATTCACACACAGACACCCTCATGCACATGCACTCACACAAACACACACACTCATTCTCACAAACACACACACACACACGCAAGCACACTTCTACACAGACACACACCAATGTACTCTCAAACGCGCACACACATACACTCACCCACACACACATTCACACATAGATACACTCACAGACACAATCACACACTCACAAACACATTCATACACACTCTTTCTCACACACCTTAACTTACACACACTCATGTACACTCAAACGCACTCACACACTCTCACACAAACACATACTCGCGCACATGCACTCTCACACACAAACACATGCACACACAGACACTTACACATACAAACACAAACTCATACACACCCTCTCACACACACATACAAACACACTCCTACAGAAACACTCACAGATATGCACACACACTCAACTACACAGACACACACACGCACATGCACTCTCACACTTGCGCATACAAACACAGAAACACATCCATACACACTCTTTCTCACACTCATGTACACTCAAACGCACGCACACACACTCAACCACACATATTCTCACATACAGATACACAAACACACTCCCACTCAAACACACACTCTTTCACATTCATGCACGGACACAAATTCAGACACAAACACATTCAAGCACACTCTTCCTCACACACAAATACACACACACACCTACACAAATAAACACACTCATGTACACTCAAACGCTCACACACACACATTCTCACACTGGCACACTCATGCACATGCACAATCACCAGCTTCTCTCTCACTCTGCTGTGTAATGGCGCCACCATGTGGTGTTATCTGGATCCGCAGGCCTCATCAGAGCAGACGGAGAGAGTGGTCTGTCTCATTTATACACACTCGCTATGTCATAGCTCTTAAACTGGATTCCTGGAGGGCCGCAGCTCTGCACAGTTTTGCTTCAACCCTGATCAAACATCCATCTATACAGGTTATTCAAGACTACTAGACACTATTAAGCAGGTGTGAGCTGGAGGTGGTTGGAGCTAAACTATGCTGAGCTGCGGCCCTCCAGAAATTGAGTTTGAGACCATTGCTCTAGTGTAATTATATAATGTCTCATCATTACACACACACACACACACAGAGATCGGATAAGTGTGAATCAGCCAATAGGGTTTGTTTTTTCTCGCAGCTCTGCCAGTGAGAGTGGTTGAGCTCAAGCACATCAAACGATCAGCCAATTAGTAGAAGGGGGGCGGGGTATGTCAGATAGTAGAGAGCATCTGATTGGTCAGAAGATTTGATGAGAAACTGTACGAGGTGACGACAAAAAAATCATTGGTCCATGTGGGAAGAACGGACAAACTGCAAGCCTTGGATGTTTATATCAGGTGTATATCTTCTACATAGGAGTTTAGTCACTGTTCTGGAGCATACTAGATTATAGACTCGCTCGCAAGGGTTCATTCGAATCAGTGAGTTGATTACTGGAGACTTGCTCTGAATTAACCATTTGGATCAGAGTTTTATTTTTTACTGGAGACTCGGTCCAAATGAAACGTTCGAATCAGTGAGTTGTTTACTGGAGACTCACTCTGACAAGATAATTTGAATCAGTGAGTTGTTTACTGGAGATTTACTCTAAATGCATAGTTTGAATCAGTGAGTTGTTTACTGGAGATTCACTCGAAATTTATAGTTTGAATCAGTGAGTTGTTTACTGGAGATTCACTCTAAATGGATAGTTTGAATCAGTGAGTTGTTTACTGGAGATTCACTCTAAATGGATAGTTCGGATCAGTGTCTTGTCAACTGGATAATTACTCTGACCAGATAATATCAATTAATGAGTTGTTTACTGGAGATTCACTCTAAATAGAAAGTTTGAGTCAGTGAGTTTTTTACTGGAGATTCAATCTAAATGGATAATTTTGGAGACCCACTCCGAATGGATCATTTGAATCAGTAAGTCGTTAACTTAAGACTTGCTCAGACCAAATAATTTGAATCAGTGAGTTGTTTACTGGAGATTCACTCGAAATGGAAAGTTTGAATCAGTGAGTTGTTTACTGGAGATTCGCTCGAAATAGAAAGTTTGAATCAGTGAGTTGTTTACTGGAGATTCACTCGAAATGGAAAGTTTAAATCAGTGGGTTGTTTTCTGGAGATTCACTCTAAATGGATAGTTTGAATCAGTGAGTTGTTTACTGGAGATTCACTCTAATTGGATAGTTTGAATAAGTGAGTTGTTTACTAGAGATTCACTCTAAATGGATAGTTTGAATCAGTGATTTGTTTACTGGAGATTCACTCTAAATGGATAGTTTGAATCAGTGATTTGTTTACTGGAGATTCACTCTAATTGGATAGTTTGAATCAGTGAGTTGTTTACTGGAGATTCACTCTAAATGGATACTTTGAATCAGTGAGTTGTTTACTGGTGATTCACTCTAAATGGAAAGTTTGAATCAGTGAGTTGTTTACTGGAGATTCACTCTAAATGGAAAGTTTAAATCAGTGAGTTGTTTACTGGAGATTGAATCTAAATGGATAGTTTTGGAGGCTCACTCCGAATGGATCATTTGAATCAGTAAGTCGTTAACTTAAGACTCGCTCAGACCAAATCATTTGAATCAGTGATTTCTTCACTGGAGACTCGCTCAGACTGAATCGTTTGAATCAGTGAGCTGTGAACTGGAGATTCACTCTGAATGATTCATTTGTATTGAAGAAAGATGTGTGAGTTAATGAGTTATTGATGAAGAGAATCTTGTTTTTTTTCTTTGGGAGTATTCATCTGGTAAATGAACCTCATATTCTGGTAAACCCTGGATGTTTTTCACCGTGATCTCATCCTCCTCCATTCTCCATTCATTCCGTACATCTCTGGTCATCAGATCATCATGCATTCTGCTGAGTGAAAGATCTGATGGTAGATGTTCAACAGACTCGGCTGTACGGCTCAGCTTTCGGGCTGTTAGATCAGTGTTTGGAGATCTGCTGTCATCTCGATACAGGAACCCAAAAACAACAGCTGTGTTTCCATCCAAGATGTCAATAAGACTTGTGTGCAGAACTGGAATATGACATAAACCATTTACCAATAATGCAGCGTTTCCATCCAATGAGGCAAAGGTCATGTCCACTCAGGTAGTTTTATAAACAGAACGCCACACCAAAGTGCAGTGATGCTTGTTAAGGGCCTGACAAACCATGTACAAATACAAACCCCTTGCACCTTTGTGGGTTTCTCAGCAGCAGAAGTCAACATAGTTGGTAAACTCTGAACGCATTGAATGGGAGAGCACAACAAATTTTTTTTTGCAATCATATTTTCTAAAATAATAAAGAAAAAACTAGACAATACTGCTTTCATGACTTTCAGAAAAAGGAATAAAAAATAGTCAGAATGAAACCGGCAGCCGGAAGAGAGAACAGTGTCAGATTTACAAGTCTTACCTCCATACACTACATTACAAACTCTTTTATTACATTGAATATAATCACTGTCATAAATATATCGTGCGTAAATAAAATTAAAAAGTGTTAGGGATCATCTGCAAATTACACCGACAGAACCAAAACGCACAGTAACGCAAACAAGAAAAAAAGTATTTCTAGAAGATTCCAGTAAATAGAGGCCAGAGTGATTAACTACATGTAACAAAGCAACTATACTTTTAACTATACGGTACATACAAAGAAGAAATATGCATTATCTCTTATCATTAGTACACAAGTAATAAGAAAAATATTGCAGCTAAATCACTCAAATGTTATTTCTCACATTTTCCCTTTGATTTATGTATACATCATCCCACAAATATTTAGGAAACATTGTTTACAGTAGTTCACCTTGATGTGAGCTTTTCATTCTAAAGTGTGCTCACATTTCTAGGGACTAAACTGACTACAGGAGAGATTTTTGTTTTGGTTCTGTCGGTGTAATTTGCAGATGATCCCTAACACTGCGTGCATGACTGTGGCGAATATCAAACCTAAAACCAACTTTACCGTGCTGATTTAGCTGTCTTTCAACGATTTTAGGACTAACAAGTTGTTAACGTCACAAGACCTAATACAGTATATACAATACGACTTCATCACAAGGCCTACCGCACTTACGCTGCAGTTTCTCTGCCCACTGAGGAAGCCCGCGACTCCTGCTGCGGGACGGAAGTTTGACGTTTGGTTCTCCTGTGTCTCCTGTTCCTCTTGCTCTACCAATGCAGCAGCTGCTTCACGTAAAAGCTGACTAACAGTTTTGCCATTTTACTTCTGTTATACTGTATTTACACTAGTAACTCACGCTGTCCCATCCATCAAAACCGTGCTTCTGCCCTCGGTCTCTGTGTGTGAAAGCACTCGACGTCACTCGAATACGCCCCTCCCACTGATTAGCATAGGCTTTGCATGCAGCTTGAAGTTAAAAATGAAATCGAAAAGTGTCAATAAAAGGAAAGCTTAAATTTACATTTTAATTTGAATTGTGTCACTATTATAGCGTGAACATTAATAACACGCTTTGTAAAAATTGTGTTTGCATTTTATTTTTCAGTTTGGCTTTTCATTTTAATATTGGCAGTCTTGATGCGGAAATGCAGTGAAAATGAAATGTTAAATCGGCAACTTCATTTTGATTATCAATTTGACAGGGACGATGTGTTGTCAAAGTGAAAATGAAAATAAAAATGAAATAATTTAATTTCATTTTCAATTTTGGCAGATATTTTGCGAACAGTGTTTTAAAATGAAATTGTTAATCTGATTTTCATTTTCATTTCCAATGTTTATTTGATTTATTTAAAATTGGCCGGATTTACTTCCATACACCACTAGTATTTATATGTTTAATAAAAAAACTATTTAGATTTGTTTACCTAAGAGGTTTTGGAGACGTCTGCATCGCCATATGGGGCATAAGAACAGGACGTGTGTTTGGATATAACTGACCACACTTTGTTATTATTGTTTGTTTGATCGATTTATTTATTCGTTTAGAATAAATAGAACTGAATTCAGAAATAGTTGTGCACAAATCTTTGAGCTTAACAAACGAAATTAAATATGCGGGCTAATGGATGTGTTCAGTGGAGTGAGTACAACACCGTTTCCTCACTCCACCAAAGTAAAGGAGTAAAGAGTAAAAGTAAAGTAAAGAGGCTGAATGGAGGAGGCTCGTTCTTTTAGCCAGTGAAGCGTTCAGTTTTTACACTTACAAAGTCCGTCATGTAAATAACAAATGCACTATGACACGACACAACTGAAAATCCCAACGCTTCAAACCCCAACGCATCAAATAACACTTCCTTGACTGATATTTGCTGTAGTACATCAGGAAGTGCTGATTTTCTTCTCTTTTATTTCTCATTGGATGGAAACGCTGCTATATGCGCAAATGATTTATAAGATATTCCAGTCTTGCACATTCATCTAATTCACATCTCTGCATGTAAACACAGCTACTGTCTGAATGGACATCATTTCAAACAAAGGGATGCTGTTTTACTGAGCAAAGGTCAAACGTTTGGTGTAGTGCAGTACACTATTGTCACCTGAAAACACACGTGGCAGCTGTGTGAGCCCATGATTGTGTTTCCCAGGTAAAGGAAGTGAACACGAGCACGTATTTGGGCCTCGGGACTCAGAATAGGGCATTTTCTCAATGCTGAACTGAAGATACTGCATCTTTAAAACAGTGGTCATTGACATTGCTTGTTTTGCAGGACGTCAGCAGCTCACACGTTTGATTTGCAGCATTTGTTTCATTTGTTTTTTGGTTGTGCTTCCCTTGGATGATTTTTCGGTCGCACTTTTACAACACGGGACACGTAGTTATTGTATTTTAGAGTATTAATCTTTGTTAGTTAGATAATGAAAACTCAGTCGTTCGCTGTTTGTTCATGTCAGGAAATACATTAACTCATGTCACAGTAGCTGCTTGTCCTGTTTTGTAAAGTCTTACAGATTTTTTTTTAATCAGTTATATTCTATGCACTGAAGTTGATTGCAGTGATTTATTCGGTCAGAGACCCTCATCAAACACTTTAATTTATTTTTACATTTCTTCATTTTGAGTTCTTTTTCTTTAATTGTTCCTCTTTGCAGACTAGTAATAGGCTTTGAGATGAAGGCATACATGTCCGTGTTTTCTTATTTTAGTAGATTTTTTTTGCATGATCTGAAAAAAAATTTCTTCTTCTTTTTTTTCCAAGTAAAAAAGGCTTTGAGAGGCATGGATGTGTCAGTGGTTTTTATTAATATTATTATTGTTATTATTATTTTTTTATTATTATTGCGTCTGATTTAGTTTCATTTTGACTTATTTTCAGTTTTTTATAAGAGTAAATTAGCTTTGAGTTGAAGGGATGCATGTGTCAGTGTTTTATTTATTATTATTATTTTATCATTATTATTATTATTATTATTATTTTTGCATCTGTTTTTTTTATTTTGACTTATTTTCTGTTCATCTAAGAGTAAATAAGCTTTGAGTTGAAGGGATGCATGTGTTAGTGTTTTATTTAATATTATTATTATTAATATTATTATTATTATTATTCCATGCTCTAATAATATTTTTATTAGAAATATTCATTTTTATTTTGTCTTATGAGTAAATAGGCTTTGAGATGAAGGCATGTATGCGTCTGTTTTTTTAAAATTATTATTTGTATTTTTATTTGATTTAATTTTTGCATGCTCTACTTGCTTTTTTCTCAAATTTTTCTTAATTTTTCTTTATTTTCTGTATTTTTCCAGACAAGTAAATAGGCTTTGAGAGCCATTGATTTGTCTGTGTTTATTATTATTATTATCGTCATTATTATAATTACTATTGTTATTATTATTGTTATTATTTATATTATAATTATTATCATTATTTTTCATTATCTTTTTTTATTATGATTATTATTAATATTAATATTGCATCTTTTTTTCTTTTTGATTTCTTTTTGATTCTACTATTTTTTAAGAGTAAATAAGCTTTGAGGTGAGGATGCATGTGTCTGTGTTTTATTTATTATTGTTATTTTTATTATTATTATTTATTATTATTAATATTGTTATCTTTAATATTATTGTTGTTGTTGTTGCATGCTCTAATTAATATTTTTTGTTAAATTAAAAGTTTTTGTTTTTTTGTTCTCCAATAGGTGTTTTATTATTATTTTAATTATTTATTTATTTATTGCATGTTCTGATAATTTTTTTCCTCTATTTTGAGTGTTTTTATTAATATTGTTCTTCGTAATAGATTAATAGACTTTGAGATGGAAGCATGCATTTTTCTTTATTTGTTTGCTTTGCCGGCTCTAAATTTTTTTTTATTTCTTTGTTTTACTTCATTTATTTATTTATTTATTCCTTTTTTCTTTTTTTTTTTGTCTTCTCTTTAAACAGGCTTTGAGAGGCATAGATGTGTTGATGTATATTTTTTTAAGTATTATTATTAAATAAATAATATTTTAATGAAAATACATTTATATTTTGCATGCTCTGATTACATAGTTTTTAATTGTTTTATTTCACATCATTTGTCCTCCTAACAGACAAGTAAATAAGCTTTGAGATGAAGGCATATGACAGTGTTTTGTTGAGTTTTTTTGTTTTTTTTTTTGCATTTTGTTTTTACATTTTTCTTCTTCATTTTCCATTATTTGTCCTCCTCCTAACAGATGAGGAAATAATAGGTTTTGAGATGAAGGCATGTGTCAGTGTTTTTGTTGAGTTTTTTGCATTTAGTTTTCCTTGATTTAACATTATTTGTCCTCCTCCTGAGAGACGAGTAACTAGCTGAAGGCATACATGCATGTGTCCGAGAATGAGAGTTGAAAGAGCTCCGGCTAAAGCTGCTTCTGTTGGTAAAGGTGGATTTTTGCTCCCCGCATTGCACTCACCAATATCTCTTCATCTGTTTGTGCTGTTTCTCATTCGCTCGCCAGGAGGAGCTACTATTCGTACTCATATTACCTGTAAGTAACAGAGACGCTCAGAGCAGCGCTAAAGCTCTCTGTCTATGGTTAGTCTTTTAAAGATGCAGTATCCTTTTTTCAAGACAAAACACAAGTCGCTTCGACCAACCCCGGTGCTTTTGATTCGTTCTCGCATTTCAGTATTTCCTGGACTCGCTCGGCGACGGTCGCATCCAAGCGGTGTTATTTGAAAAAAGAATGCTGCACTTGTGTGTGTTTCTGTGTTTGGGCTTGGTTTTGCTTATCTCTGTGTGCGTGCGTGTGCATGTGTGTGTGTGTGGGATAGTCACTCGCCCTCTCTCATCCAGCTCTCCATCCCGTCTGCTGAAGGTGTTTTCAGTGGTTTTCCCCTTCAGAAGTTCTGTCTTGATTAATCTCAGTGCAAACTCAAGACTTCAGACGTTTAAAACAGTAAACTGCACACATCGCTTACTCTACAAACCATCCTCCGTTCACCGCTTTACATCGCATTTCATGACATGATGACATTCTTTTACTCTTCTACTTAAAGTAAAACCATGAAGTGTTTACGTCAGGTCAACCAGCACACACTGTAAAAATGAACAGCTTCTGTATTGTGTGTTTTTCGTTTATTTACGGTTATGAACTGCATTGTTGGACGTTGATCTCTGCTCTGTCGACTTTCGATGTTGATAATTCAATTCTACAGTTTAACAAAGTGACTTTTATTGACATTTTAATACTAATATAATGGGCTCTATTTTAACGATCTAGGCGCAAAGTCTGAAGCGCAAATATGCTCTGCATATTCTCACAGGGTTGAGCTTATACCCTCAATGAGTTATGGGTGTGTTTTGAGAATAAATAAATCAGAGTCTCATCTCACATTCCCTTTAAAAGTCAGTTGCGTTGCGTCATGGCGCATTTGCTATTTACGTGGCGGGCTTTATAAGTGTAAAAACTTTACTAAACAGTTAAACAGAGCATCTGCAGCGCGAGGATAAAGAACGAGCCTCCTTCATTCAGCCTCTTTCACTTTCTCTCTTTCTAGGATAAGGAAACGGTGTTGTACGCACAGATATCCATCAGCCTACATAATTAATTTCGTTTGTTAAGCGCAAAGATTTGCTTCAAAACTATTTCTAAATTCAGTTCTAATTTGTTCCAGCAAACAAATAATGAACAGTAATAACAAAGTGTGGTCAAAAAAACAGTTATAAATCTAAACACACATGCTATCCCCTATATGGTCCAAAACCTGACAGGTGGACAAATCTAAGCTTGTTTTTAATAAAACAAATATAAATATGCAGATAATAAATAATACAGCTAATAATTATAACATTATACAAATGCAAATGGTCATGAATAAACTGAAAAAGCCTCCCGAGATGAAGAAGGCATGGAGGCGGGTGGGTGGTTTAAAAATATATGTAATATATATAATATAAATAATAAATAAAATAATGTAATAATAAATAATAATTAATATAACTTATAATAAATAAATAAATATAATAATAATAAAAAAAATTTGTAATATTTTATTTTCTTTAATTATTTTTCATCTTTAAACATATTTGTGTATTGCTGTACACCCTGTGTGTATTAAGCAATGTTTAAGCGAGGAGCACAACTAATGCAGTGGCGTAGCGCAAAATGCGGAGGCCCCCCTGCAGGGATCACTGACGGGGCCCCTTGTTGGCGGGGGGGACAGTGCAGGGAAGCGATCCCAAATTGAGGAGCGGGGTTGGGAGGCGGGGTGGAGCGACAACGCAGGGAAACCTTCACAAATTGAGGAGTGATCACAAACCGAAAGCGGCGAGAGCGTCAACGTAGCCAGAAGTCATTCATTTTTATTGAGAACCGGCGGCGAGGAGCAGCACGGCGCGTCTTCTCCAGTGTGGGCGTCGAGGAGAGTTGAAATCAAGTCAACTTTATGGTAATGAGCTATGACGCAGTTCGGCAGCAAGCAATCAGAATGAAGACGTCCACCGCTTGAGAGGAGTTCAAAGAACACAGACCTGTGAACTTTGGTTCCGACCACAGTTGTTCCCAAGAGTTTGATTATTGCGGGTTTCGAATTTTCAATTATTAAAAATCGCGACGTTGTGGGGCCCCCTAATCACGCGGGGCCCCTCCGCCGTGCGTGCCCTGCAGGCCTATCCGCTACAACACTGAACTTATGTGCTCTGCGCTGGACTTTAGACCGGCTCTCAGCTGGTCTGTTGCACATTTTAGTTCCTCAAAATAGCAACACACCAACAATGCGCCTTAACACACCTCATTTCTAGACCAGAACAAAGAGTCCACAAATTGGTGCAAATGGATTTACTATTTAAACAACATGATAGGAAACGAGAAAATGAAGGTTGCGTTGGTCTGAAAGTAGCAACACGTCTCGCGCCTTATTGCAGCAGGTGTATGATAGGGCCCTTCATCACTTTAAACTATTAACAATGTTCATAAAAGTCACTTTTCAAAACGTTTTACGGATCAAAATTATTGGAGGAAAGATCAAGATGCCATAATGCAATTCAAAATTTAAATAAATGGAGAAAAATCTAAATTGTAATCACAAAGTACAGAAAAACTCAGTTTTTGTTTTCTGATGATTTTATTTTTTGTTATTCGAAATAAATAAAAATCAAATCATTATTGAATTTTGGTTTTTCGTTTTTCACCATGAAAAAGGTGAAACAAGCCGTTTTTTAATTTTCGTTTTAATATTCAAAAACCAAAATCAAAAAACGGCTCGTTTTTCTTTTTTCAATATCCGTTTCTAATATGAAAATTCAACGACCAAAAGATACACTGACCATTTATAAAGATCTCAAGTCTGCGCAGACAGTAAAATAAGCTCTCTTGGTTTTGAGCAGGCATGGTTTTATTTCTCTGATCCACATCCACTAATGTGAAAGTATTTCCTGCAAGTTCCCTCCAAGTTGTCCTTTGGTGTGGAACTAAACACTTTCCTAATGGATCATCCCTTTCTCTCTCTCTCTCTCCTGTTTTCTGTTTATTCCTACATGTGGGTGCTTGGGGTGTCTGAGGGCTAGAACGGGGGCTGTTTTCTGCAGGAGCATGTTTATTAATCAGACTTTTTTGTTTTGTTTGGTTTTGTTTTAATGATTGGCTTATCAGGAAACTGGCCAAGAAGCGCAAGGACGCCATCGGGAACACCCGTCAGGAGATGACCCACATGGTGAATTCCATGGACCGCAGTTACGCCGACCAGAGCACGCTGCACGCTGAGGAGCCCATGACCGTCACATTCATGGACTCGCACAACTTCAGCAACCGCTGTGAGTCTCACACACACACACACACACACAGAAGCTTGATGAAGCTAAGCACAAGTGATTTACATGTGTAGTCAATGCAAAGACATGGTGGTATTCACGCCATTGATGCGGCTAATGACATGGTGCAAATTGGGTGTTTCGGGCGTTTGATGAGCTTAACGTGATTCACACAGAGTTGAAAAATCTAAGTTTTGGCGGACATGTGAGTCACATTAACCAATCAGGAGCTTGCTCTAGTGTAGACGTGACTATGATGTACCACCTGTAGTTGGTGTCCCGAGGGGAAATCTTGGTGCAGACAAAAATTGACTGGGATTGACTCAGACAAAAACCTCTCCACCAATCAGATTTGCACATTTCTTCATGTGCTGCTGCAGTTACAGTAAACACCAAATGGAGGCACTCAAGTGCAAAACAGTGGAGGTGCCGGCAGCTAGCTCTCTGCAACTCTCACATGGTCGCCCACTGAAGCTAAGCAGGGCTGCGCCCGGTCAGTACCTGGATGGGAGACCACATGGGAAAGCTAGGTTGCTGGCGGAATTGGTGTTAGTGAGGCCAGCAGAGGGCGCCCAACCTGCAGTCTGGGTGGGTCCTTATGCCCCAGTATAGTGACGGGGACTCTATACTGCTCAGTGAGCGCCGTCTTTTAGATGAGACGTTAAACCGAGGTCCTGACTCTCTGTGGTCGTTAAAAATCCCAGAATACCCTTCGAAAAAGAGTAGGGGTTTCACCCTGGCACCCTGGTCAAATCTGCCCTCTGTCCACATATCACAATTGGCTACATCACTCTGTCTCCTCTCCACCATTCAGCTGGTGTGTGGTGTGCGGTCGGGTGCAAAATTCACTTTAAGTGCCCCAAAAAGCGCTATATAAATGTAAGGAATTATTATTATTATTATTATTATTATTATCATAGGTGATCCCAGTTTCACTTTCTTTCAATGAAGATGATGAAAGAATATATTGTGAAGTGAACTTGACACAAGAATAAAACGGGTAAACTCAGAATGTTCAAGCATTCAATTATGCAGGAATAGCGTCATCTATTCGCATCTGCGATGATAAGAACCAACATCCACATCTGTGCAAATCGCAGACCAGAGGCCGGAAGAGTTGCCTTTCCACTACTACAATTATAAACACTGTTTTCTATGAGGGAAGAACCAGATATGAATACTGGCGCCACTATTGGCTACTCCAGCAGGAGAGGGAAGCAGCCATCTCTCTCGGTCATGCTGAGTTGTGTTGGTCTGTTGGTGTGTGAACATTTTGAGTTTATTTACATCAAATCCGCTTCATTCACGCACAAAATTCACTTCAGAACAGATGACTCTAGTTTCACTGCTTAATGACGAGCATGTGTTTTATCGAGAGAATAGCTGTGTTTATGTGCTTTAAGAAGGCTGAAAAACAGCATATATTCGTTCGGCGCCGTGTCTAAGTCCACTAGATCCTTTCAGAGGCGCACCCTGATCTGTGAGTTTATCAACTCCTTCAGAAACTATACCTGGATGATGGAGGCTTTCAGCGGTGCTTCTGACTGAGCTGAGCCCGGTTTGATCAGCTGTTGTCGGTGTTGGCACAAGGATTTTCCCCCGGGACACCAACAGCAGGCGCTACGCCACAATCACGCCCCACAAGAGAAACCCCCTGAAACCTCCTGCACAAATCGTTCAATTTATATATAATATTATTTACATACGCAGCAGGATGTCAATTTGCGTCTCTGCTTTGACTTAACAAGTAAACCACTCGCGCTGGACAATTGTGGTTGACAGCAAAAGGTTGCAGAGCTGGTCTAGACTGCCTCACTCCTGTTCCCAGATGTTTATGATGATCTCTGTTACAACATACTGCTGCTACAACCTACTGTGAAGATTTGTGTGTGTGTGTGTGTGTGTGTGTGTGTGTGTGTGTGTGTGTGTGTGTGTGTGTGTGTGTGTGTGTGTGTGTGTGTGTGTGTGTGTGTGTGTGTGGTCAACACAATCTCACGGCAATTCGTAACTTTTTGATTTAGTGGCTAATTCTTATGAATTCGTACAATTTAGTACAGTTTGCTCATCCCCCCAATGACGGTTGGGTTTAGGGGTGGGGTTAGGTGCCACACCTCCTTTTTAAAATCGTACAAATTCGTATGAATTAGCCACTAAACTGGCAAAACGTACAATACTTACGTTTTCTCGTGAGATCAGGCATGTGTGGTTCAGTTATTAATAATGACTTTATATCAGAACACTCGTCTGTGTAACATCAACACCTCAGTGGAATCAGGATAAACAAAGAGCTCAACTTCTTCCCTTCCTCTCTTTCTTCTTCTCCTTGTCATCCTCTTTCTTCTCCTCCTCCTCTTCTCCTCCTTATCTCCTCCTCCTCTTTCCTCCTCCTCTTCATTCTTCTCCTCCTCCTCTTATTTCTCCTCCTCTTCTTTCTCCTCCTCCTCCACTTCTTTCTTCTCCTCCTCCTCTTAATTCTTCTCCTCCTGCTCTTAATTCTCTTCCTCCTCTTCTTCTATTCCTCCTTTTCTGTCTTCTCCTCCTCCTCTTAATTCTCCACCTCCTCTTCTCCTCCTCCTCCTCTTCTGTCTCCTCCTCTTTCTTCTCCTCCTTTTCTTAATTCTCCTCCTTCTCTTTCTTCTCCTCCTCCTCTTTCTCCTCCTCTTTCTTCTCCTCCTTTTCTTAATTCTCCTCTTTCTCTTTCTTCTTCTCCTTTTCTTAATTCTCCTCCTTCTCTTTCTTCTCCTCCTCCTCTTCTGTCTCCTCCTCTTTCTCCTCCTCTTTCTTCTCCTCCTTTTCTTAATTCTCCTCTTTCTCTTTCTTCTTCTCCTTTTCTTAATTCTCCTCCTTCTCTTTCTTCTCCTCTTCCTCTTCTTTCTTCTACTTATTTTCTTCTTCTCCTCTTCTGTCTTCTATTTCTTCTTCTCCTCTTTCTTCTCCTCTTTCTCTTCATTCTCTTCCTCCTCCTTTTCTTTCTTCTCTTCCTCCTCTTAATTCTTCTCCTAATCTTGATTCTCCTCCTCCTCTTCTTCTACTCCTCCTTTTCTGTCTTCCCCTTTTCCTCCTCTTAATTCTCCAACTCCTATTCTCCTCCTCCTCCTCTTCTGTCTTCTCCTCCTCTATCTTCTCCTCCTCTTTCTTCTCCTCCTCCTCTTTCTCCTCCTCCTCTTCTGTCTTCTCCTCTTTCTTCTTCTTCTCCTCCTCCTCCTCCTCTTTCTTCTCCTTTTCTTTCTGCTCCTACTCTTCTTTCTTCTCATCCTCTTCTTTCTTCTCCTCCTCTTCTTCTCCTTCACTTCTTTCTTCTCCTCCTCCTCCTCTTCTGTCTTCTACTCCTCGTCTTCTCCTCCTCCTCTTCTTCTTCTTCTTCTCCTCCACTTCTTTCTTCTCCTCCGCCTCTAAATTCTTCTCTTCTGTCTTCTCCTATTTATTCTCCTACTCCTCTTAATTCTACTCCTCTTCTTTCTTCTCCTCATCCTCTTTCCCCTCCTCTTCTTTCTTCTCCTACTCCTCTTGATTCTCCCCTTCCTCTTGATTCTCATCATCCTCTTTCTCCTCTTCTTTCTTCTCCTCCTCCTCTTAATTTTCCCCCTCTTTCTTCTTCTCTTCTTTTTTCTCCTCCACCTCTTCCTCTTCTTTTTCTCTTTCTCCTCCCCTTCTCCTTTTTCTTCTGTCTTCTCCTCTTTCTTCTTCTTCTCCTCCTCCTCCTCCTCTTTCTTCTCCTTTTCTTTCTGCTCCTACTCTTCTTTCTTCTCATCCTCTTCTTTCTGCTCCTCCTTTTCTTTCTTCTCCTCCTCCTCCTTTTCTGTCTTCTCTTTTCCTCTTAATTCTCCAACTCCTATTCTCCTCCCCCTCCTCCTCGTATTCTCCTCCTCCTCTTCTTCTTCTTCTTCTCTTCCACTTCTTTCTTCTCCTCCGCCTCTAAATTCTTTTCTTCTGTCTTCTCCTCCTATTTATTCTCCTCCTCCTCTTAATTCTCCTCCTCTTCTTTCTTCTCCTCCTCCTCTTTCTCCTCCTCTTCTTTCTTCTCCTCCTCCTCTTGATTCTCCCCCTTCCTCTTGATTCTCATCATCCTCTTTCTCCTCTTCTTTCTTCTCCTCCTCCTCCTCTTAATTTTCCTCCTCTTTCTTCTTCTCTTCTTTTTTCTCCTCCTCCACCTCTTCCTCTTCTTTTTCTCTTTCTCCTCCCCTTCTCCTTTTTCTTCTTCTTCTCCTCCACCTCCTCTTTCTCCTCCTCCTCCATCTTCTCCTCTTCTTCTTCTGGTATGTTCCTCCTCCATAACTCTGCCTGTGTTCTCTGCAGTGCCTAATGAGCCTCTGGTGCCAACAGCTGTATTAGGTGAGGACTGTGTGACTGTCTGTGTGAGCGGATCTTCATAGTTCCCTACAGAGCAATTCAGTTCAGCTTTAAAGACAACATGAACTCTCACTTCACACACATCAGCTGCTCCTCTGATCATTACATTACATTAGTGCACACCATAGTGAAGGGATGATTTGGGTTGTTAATGCTCCACAAGGACTGAACATTATAGACATAAAGTAGGAGAAACAGCATTATAGTTCACCCAGAAATGTGAATTTTGTCACCGTTTACTCGTCCCACTAACCTGTTTGAGTTGCCTTTTTCTGTTGAAGACAAACAAGATTTACTGAAGAATGCTGGAAAAAGCAGCCATTGGCTTTCATCTTATTTTAGTTTTTAATCATAATAGTTTTAATAACTCATCTATAATAACTGATTTATTTGATCTTTGTCATGATGACAGTAAATAATATTAGACTAGATATTCTTCAAGACACTTCTATTTAAAGGATTTAAACAAAGAAGCAGTTTAAAGGCTTAACTAGGGTAATTAGGTTAACTAGGCAGGTTTGGATAATTAGGCAAGTTATTGTATAACGATGGTTTGATCTGTAGAAAATATATAGCTTTAAAGGGGCTAGTAATTTTGACCCTAAAATGATGTTTAAAACATTAAAAACTGCTTTTATTCTAGCCAAAATAAAACAAAGAAGACTTTCTCCTGAAGAAAAAATATTTTCAGACACACTGTGAAAATTTCCTGAATCTGTTAAACATCATTTGGGAAATATTTAAATATATTTATTTATTTATTTTATTATTATATATTTTTTTTTTATTCCTGATCAGTAGGTAACGTCCAATTTGATCAAGTCTGAAACCGTGTACTTGGGCCCACTTTCTGATGATGTGATCGGATTTGGACATGCCTAATGTCTGTATCTGAATACTGTTATGCTTCCCAGAAAACCGTCAAATAGCGCTATTCACACCATCTTGTGAAACTATTCATATCGTAATATTTATTTCGCTACTATAACTATAAAACTTAAAGGTTCACGAAACCCTCGGGTACTTTTTTTGAGACGTTAACAAATTAGTGTGTGTTGAGCATCAGTTAAGACAGCGTTAGCACCTGTCAGCTTTAATTGTGGGATAAACTGGATAATTTTGAGCTTTTGTCAGCTAATTTCAGCTTCCGGGTTTTTGAGACAGGATCAAAATCGGCGACGGATCGCAAAACTGCAAGTGCAAAGATGACGCGTCGGTTTCTCATTAATATTCATAGATGAGTTTTCTTATCCTATGAGAAGAGCCGGCTTCTTAATTATTCATGACTGCGCGTGCTTTCCGAAGGCAAGGCAGACCTGCCAGAGCCAAGCCCTGAGACACGGACCCACGACACACAGTATTGTCTGGAGAGCAGTACGAGAATTGGAGAATGGCGGATTTGTCCTTTATCAGTTTAGTTTGTTTACATTTAGACACATCGCCGTGCTGCTGTGTTCGCCTTAATCCTCCAGATTACCAGCAGCCCTGCTGATTGAAGTAGGCAGGGCAAGAGACCTGCTGCACTGAGTCTGCATTCAGACCTGGGGATTGAGGAGGAGAGAAGTCCTCATTTATAGTGTTTATATGAACACAATCATCTTTATAATGATATAAATTGTGGTTGTGTGAATATGAAATAACAAATGTATAACAATGTTTATTTCTTTGCGTTTTAACTTTGTAAACTATTAAATCATGCGTCTCCTCACGGTTTGTGTCTCATTTTGTGAGCCGACTGACAACAGTTGTTCGTTCCCCTCCTTCTCCCCTGCTGGCCACGCCCACTCCTGCCCTTTGCTCGCGGAGCTCCACGCCCATTATGATGCATTTTTTGAGGTAGACCTGAACCGAAAGTAGAGGTGGTCATGACCCTTTAAATATCGCAATTTCAGATTTCTCCAATATCATGCAGCCCTAGTTTCCACAATCGATGCCAGTGGCTGTCTTTTTCCAGCATGTTTCACAACATCTTGTAGTGTGTTTAACTAAAGAAAGTCTACTCGAGTGAGAGTAAACGAAGATCAGGTTGTATTGTTTGTCTCCTAAATCAACAAAATCATAGGCCAGTCCAATCAAACAGCATTGAATGAAATCAAAACCCGAATCTCCCTCATTTCCCCTCAGTCTAAAGTGAAACGCCTTCATGTTGTCTTTAATTGATCCATATCTCCAGTCAAACGCCTTTCTCCAATTGGTTGTCAATCCTGATCAAAGTAAAAGTGTGTATTTAGTTCATGTATGAGCGCTCACTGAACACACATACAGTATATAATGTAGATACGAGCTTTTATTTTGTATGTGATTGGTGGCGATGGATCTGTTGACAGTAGTAGTGCTGTCTAATAGAGGATGCGTTCGCCTCCAGAACAGAACTGAATTGAGCTGAGTGCTCCTGCTGCACATAAAGACCTTCATTACCCAGCATGCATCGCCCATGTAGCCCTCACCATCTTCATGTTGTGTGACGCAGCGCAGCGTTTCTCAGACATTCCCACAGGCTGGACCCAGATCAGCTGATCGGGCTGTTTAGTGAGCATGCACAGAGAGCCTGTAGGAATGCATTGAGAGGCGCTGCATTATACAGATCTGTGTGTGTGTGTGTGTGTGTGTGGTGACCAGTGGTGTGTGTTGCTGCTGTGGACAAACTTGTTTTTACATATTGCTAATTATAGCAGGTGTGTTTGTTTATATGTTATACTGGATGTGTTGGAAAACGATGTCATGCTATTGGTGATGCTGATGTCAAACAGTCAAACACACATGACATGGAGAATCTGCACTGTTGCTGAGATTCTCACACACACCACTATTCTCCATCCTAAGTGCTAGCCTGAAACTAGCCTAGTGCCCACCCAGTCTGCTGTTAAACACTAGCCTAGAGCACCCTCTCTAGTGTGTGTGTGTGAAATCGATAAGCAGAACCAGCTGGGAGAAGCTACTCCGAAGGATTTACAAACACATCACACACATGCTCACACACACATACACATGTAATCTCCCTCTCACATACACACTCCCTGTCATACATACACATGCACACAGTTTCACACACACACACACTTGCACACAGAAACTTTCTCTCACACACACACATACACACATAATCTCTCTCTCTCACACACACTTGCACACAGGAACATTAGGAGCTCATATTAAAATTGAGTATTGGTAAACGTAGTCTCTGAATGTGGCAGATGACGTCGCAGGCTGCATTCCTCTGCCTTTAGGTTGATCATGAGCCCTCAAATGTGTCATTAAGTTTGACGTGTTCGCTCACACACAACTTTTGTAAAGCGTCTGCTTCACGTTGCTGTGACAGAATCCTTACCGTACGTTCACACCGAAAGCGGCGAGAGCGTCCAAGGTCGCTCTGGCTACCCTGGCGAAAACGCTGTCTGCCTTCACCTCCGGCAGTGAGAGCGTCAAAACTCGCCACATTGATCTCATATTTAAAGGAGCCGTTGCAGCATATCAGTTACATTCCTGCATAAAACATGTTTCTAGCGTGAAAATGTTGCGCACTTCTTATCAAATTCATTTAACAATGGAAGATCAAGTTGTGTGTGGTGTGGCTTTGCTCTATTTATCCAATATGTGTCCATATGTCTGAAATATCCTGAAGCAGCTGTACTGTTTTGTACTGTCACATCGCGTGAGATTCCCGCTTTTTTAAGATAAATTTATATAACATTAATGAACATCAGTAACTCGCCAGTAACTTATTTAATGCATGTTCCTGTAGGAAAAAATTGTAAATAATTGAAAATCCGGCGACCACAATCATCAAACCCTTGGGAACAACTGTGGTCGGAACCAAAGTTTACAGGTCTGTGTTCTCTGAACTGCTATCAAGCGATGGACGTCTTCATTCTGATTGCTTGCCGCCGAACCGCGTCATAGCTCATTACCATAAAGTTGACTTCATTTCAACTCTCCTCGACGCTCACTCCGGCGAAGACGCGCCGCGCTGCTCCTCGCCGCCTTTCGCCGCCGGCTCTCATTGAAAATGAATGACTTCCGGCTACTTTGACGCTGTCGCCGCTTTCGGTGTGAACGTACGGTTAGAACGCTTAGTTTAAGCAAGTTTGAGAAATGCGATCATGCGTGTTGGTAAATCTAAAGAGAGTCGCTCACTAGATGCGCTGCACTGCACATGCGTGTGTTCCCTGGGCCAGTGTTTCTCAACTAGTGGGTCATGACCCAAAAGTGGGTCGTGGGAACATTTTTTGTGGGTCGCGGAGTGTGTGGTCCAAAAACCAACAAAAGTTTATTTTAACTTATTTTGCTTATATTGGACTTTTATTTTGAAATGTTTGTGCGACAACCCTACCGTTTGACATGTGAAATTTCATTTAATTATAGCAGCAAACATGTCGAAGCGCAAGTGCGACCTCGATATGTCAAGTATGGATTTACATATTTTGACGACAAAAACAGACTTAAAGCCGCAGTGTGTTATTTGTAGTGAGGTGCCCTCACAAGAGAGCATGAAACTCTCTGAATTAAAACGACATTTAGAAACCAGACACCATGTTTTATTAACAGTTCAGTTTAGTTCATGGTAGCTGAACCTTTCCTTACCCTAACCACTGTTTACAGTATTTGTCATTTTGACTTTATAATATTTCTATAAATTGATACATTTTGTTAAATGATAGCAATGAAATAATATTTATTTGGAAGTCTTGGTGATTTTCTTACGATTTATCCGTCACGACTTGAAACAAATAAAAATTGTGGATGTTAACAAATACAAAAAATAATTATAATTCCTAAAATTGTATTATAGTTCCTAAAAATTTGGGTCGCGTAAAAATGTGGGTCCTAGGGCCAAACCAGTTGAGAACCCAACAAGAACAAACGCCAAACATCGCCAATGGTGTCTGCATCCCTCTAAATCAGGGGTGCCCAAACTTTTCCATGTAAAAACCCAAGTTTGATTAAGAGCTGTGGGCCGAAAGTAAAAATCTCCTTGCTTTGTTCATCATTTGGGAAATATTTAGACTTTTTCAGATTTGGTGTGAATCCAGCAAAAAGCTGCAAATACACTTCTAGATTCATCAGCTTCTCGCTGGGGCAAAACAGTGGGACATTTTTGTAGCTTATTTACCTGTGAAAGCTCATAAAAAAGGACCTCAATGTCAATATTACATCTCTAAGATGCCAAAATCCAGCTTTCATTGGTTGATGAGCTACAGAGGTGTCCTTTTGTGGAGCTCCACCTAGTGACAAGCTCTTAAAGGGACAGCTCACCAAAAACAAAAGTCAATTCTGTCATCATTTACTCATCATTCAGTCATCAGTACATGTTTGACTTTCTGTCGAACACAAAGCAAGAAATACTGAAGAATGCTGGGAAAAAACAGCCATTGACCTTCATAGGATTAGTTTTTTTCTGCTCTGGACGTCAGTAGTTGTCGTATTCAAACATTTTCCAAAATATCTTCTATTGGCTCAACAGAACGTAAGAAAAAACGATTTGGATTGAGTAAATGATGATAGAATTTTCATTTCAGGTTGAACTGTCGCTCTAAATGCACAGTTTTTTTGCCTAAGAGTGTAACACAAGTGATATAGTGAGTGGCTGTGGCGTGGAGAGTGGTTTTGTCTGTGGTCCCCCTGGTCCTAGTGTCCCGTAGGTGTGCATTGTATATGTTCAGTCCATGTCACCCCATCAGCTGTACTACAGAGCCCTTCAGAGTGTTTGAGCTGACGCTGAACTAAACCGTCTTTTTCTCTCCTGCTGCCCCGTAAGTGCCTATCACTGGTAAGTGTGTGTGTGTGTGCGCACCTCTGTCCTACGCAGAGTGCTCATCTCTGGGCTTTTATATGCATTTGTGGGGATTTTGCGTGTGTGTGTTGAAAACATGCTTTTCTTACTTAGATTTTGTGTCTTAAAATCTTTAAATCAAGAAGCCTTTTCTGGACAAGCATAAAATAGTGTGTTATTCAAAGAAATAACAAGTCAAAATGAAGTGAGTTTTTCCTGAAAACACGCTAAATAATTTGCTAATAGGGCGAGCAGAATAACGTTTTGTCAAAAGGAAAAACAAGATCATGCTTGTCTAGAAAAAGCTTCTTGATTTTTGGATATTTGGACTAGAAACGAGACGGAAGCTGTAAGTAAGAAAAGTGTTTTCTGCGGTGTGGCATGTGCGGAGGTTTGTTGAAAGTCTTCGGTGTGCATGTTGAAGGGATCTCTGTGCCTCCTCAGATGAGAACCACACTGCGGCAGCGGCGGCAGCGGAGAACAGCAGACTGCTGGATATCCCGCGATACCACTGCGAGGGTACCGAGTCCCCTTATCAGACGGGACAGCTCCATCCGGCCATACGGGTGGCGGATTTGCTGCAGCACATCAACCTGATGAAGACCTCCGACAGCTACGGCTTCAAGGAGGAGTATGAGGTTAGATGATGAGAGAGTAACTGTGTGCAAAAAAAACTTTCTAAGGACCAATCCCAATATCCCCTTCCCCTTACCACTACCCCTGGTTTTGCACGTTCACGTGAAGGGGTAGGGGTGTCCTAATTCTCTTTAGCTTGAAAGTGTTGGGCTAAGGGGAAGGGCTAGATAGCCCTTGAAACAGATTTTTCAGGACCACACTCAAAACCAAGGAGTAAGACAACTTCCCAGAATACACCAGCAACAACGCCAACATGACTGCACACACGAATCCAGAGATGCACATATTGAAGTTTTTTTGGCATTATTACGAGTTTTTACGACAAACAACGGTATGTTTTGAGACACTCGTAACAATGTTTATGTTAAAAAATCCATAATAATACAGTGCATCTGGAACGTATTGATAGCACTTGAGCTCAGGTCCATTCTGTGTCCACTGATCATCCTTGAGATGTTTCAGCAGCTTCATTGGAGTTCACTTGTGGTCAATTCAGTTGATTGGACATGGTGTGAAAAGGCTCCACCTGTCTATATAAGGGGCCAGGGTTGACAGTGCATGTCAAAGCACAAACCAAGCATGAAGACAAAGGAATTGTCTGTAGACCTCAGAGACAGGATTGTGTCAAGGCACAAGGCTGGGGAAGGTTACAGAAACATTTATGCTGCTCTGAAAGTTCCAATGAGCACAGCGGCCTCCATCATCCGTAAGTGGAAGATGTTTGGAACCACCAGGACTTTTCTTAGAGCTGACCGGCCATCTAAGCTGAGTCGGGGGAGATGGACCATAGTCAGGGAGGTGATCAATAACCTGATGGTCACTCTGTCTGAGCTCCAGCATTCCTCTGTGGAGAGAGGAGAACCTTACAGAAGGACAACCATCTGTGCAGCAATCCACCAATCAGGCCTGTATGGTGGAGTGGCCAGACGGAAGACACTCCCCGCCTGGAATTTGCCAAAAGGCATCTGAAGGACTCTTGTAGCCACTGCCAAAATATCAATGGAGTGGCTTCACAACAACTCGGAGAATGTCCTTGAGTGGCCCCACCAGAGCCCAGATCTAAATCCTATTGAACATCTCTGAAAATGGCTGTACATCATTGCTTCCCATCCAACCTGATAGAGCTTGAGAGGTCCTGCAAAGAGGAATGGGCAGAAATTCCCAAAGACAGGTGTGCCAAGCTTGAGGCATCATATTCAACAAGACTTGAGGCTGTAATCGCTGCCAAAAGTGCATCAGCAAAGTATTGAGCAAAGGCTGTGAATACTGATGTACATCTGATTCCTCAGGTTTTTTATTTTTAATAAATTTGCAACAATTTCAAAAACTCTTTTTTTCACATTGTCACTATGTGAGGCACATTGAGCCTCAGAGCCACACCCACCTATTACATCATCCCCATGAACCAATGAGAGTTTTAATTAAATAAAGCCGTTTCCAATGCTTGACCAGGTTTTGGTTGAAAGTTAGTCCTTCATTTTCCAGCTCATCGAGGACTTGTTTACAAATGGAGATGAGAGATGGGCTGAGCCTCAGAGCCACACCCACCTGTTACATCATCGCCAACGAGAGCTTGAGATACTTAGGAAAGCTTTTTGCAACTCTTGGCCGAATTTGGTTCTCCAATTTCCAATTGTGGAAGAGAAGAGATTCATTTGAAAGAAGATGCAGAGCCACATCCACCTGTAGCATCATCATGGACCAAGAGACTTTGTGTCTTGGCCTGGTTTTCCGTCTTCATAATTATGAGCTTATTCTCACGCAGGTTTCCTGAAACATCCCCTGCCTTGTGTTGCTCGGTAAACAGATCATCGCACTACAAACTATTTTAACATCCCAGAAACGATACTTCACCTTCAGCAAGAGCTACACCCAAATGCAGTTAAACCCACAGCATGATACCCACACACACACACACACACACACACACACACACACACACACATGTTGTGCAGTGGTGAGTTTGCAGGCGAAGAGAGTTGGCAGTTGAGTTGATCAAACCACAATCTGATGAGTGTTTCCACCTGCACTTTCTCAAAGCGCTCCTCATCCAATGTATATCCACCAAGCAAATTCTGCTGTGTTTGTCATAAATATGATGACAGTATGTGTAAAGTTGAATGTTACCCTGTCGTAATTCTTTCTCTGTGTATGTCTAGAGTTTCTTTGAGGGTCAGTCTGCTTCCTGGGACGCGGCAAAGAAAGAGCAAAATCGAACGAAGAATCGATATGGGAACATCATTGCATGTAAGGAGAATCTCTGCTACACATCATATCCGTCTCCTTACACCCTCCTGCAGGCCCGTGGGTCCTCGTGTAGACATTACACAGTGTTTTTCGAGATTTATACAAAAAAAACACAATTCTTACAATTCTTAAGGGTTTTTTTGGGACAACTTAATAGTTTAATCTTCAGTCCACTTAAATTTGTAACTTAATCGATTTGTGTTGGGACAGCATGAATTGTGTGCGTTTTTACTACGCTGGCCGGGAAGTGCAAAACAAGATTACAAAGTATAAAACACTTTAGCGAAGCTCGAGACAAATTTACATTTCGGAAAACGTTTTCACCTGTCATCAGACACAATTACAGAGGAAAAGCAATTTTACCATGGATGAAACATTTACATTTTTGAAAAAAAATTAACAAGACGCAAAACACTTACAAGTCCTGAAACAAGTTTACAATTTCAGATTCCTTACAGAAAGGGAATGCACCACACACCGGGAATGATGTGGAATAAAATTCTCCACAAGAAAAAATATTACAGGCGATACCTTGAAAAAGTTGTGGAAATGAGCGCTGGTGCACATCCAGCTGAACATCTAGGGCTCTATTTTGACGGTCCATACGCAAAGTGCAGAGCACAGGGTGCACACGCTTTCAGAGCGTGTCAGAATCCACTTTTGCTAATTTAAGGACGGGAAAATCCGCTTTGCGCTGTGGCGCATGGTCTAAAAGGGTTGAGCTAATTCTCTTAATGAGTTATAGGTGTGTTTTGAGAATAAACCAATCAGAGTCTCATCTCCCATTCCCTTTAGGAGTCAGTTGCGTCCCGCCAAGAGCGCATTTGCTATTTACATGATGTAAAGTAAGTGTGAGTGGAAAAACTGAGCATTTCACAAGCAAGAAAACAGATTAACAGAGCATCTGCAGCGCCAGAATGAGAGATAAGGCATCTCATAATCTACTTTCACTTTCGCTCTAAAGAAACCTTGTACGCACAGACATCCATTAGCCTATAAATAATTAATTTTGTTTGTTAAGCGCAAATATTTGTTCTAAATTCAGTTCTAATTTCCAGCAAACGAATAAATGAACAATAAAAACGAAGTTTATAGTTATACGAGTTATATCCTAATACACACGCTGAGCCCCATATGGTCTAAAACCTGCAGGTGGACAAATCCAAGCTTGTTTTAATAAAACAAATATAAATATGGATATAATAAATAATACTGCTAATAATAATAACATTATACAAAAGCACATTGTTATGAATGAACTGAAAAAGCCTCCCGAGATGAAGAAGACATGAAGGCAGTGGTTTTTAAATGTATGTAGGCTAGAAAATGGTATGTTTTGTGATATTTTAATCCTTTATATTTATATCCTATATATATATTATTATATATCCTTAATATTTAAATAATTTTTCAATAATTTTTTAATATTTGCGTATTGCTCTACATCTTGTGTGTATTAAGCAGTGTGTAAGCGAGGTGCATAACTAACGCGCTCTGCGCTGGACTTTAGACCGGCTTTGTTTTGGTCTATTGAAAAATCTATTATAGTTTCTCAAAATAGCAACGCGCCAGCAATACACCTCAGAACGCCTCCCTTTTTAGACCAGAACGCCTATAGGTGCACATATGAGCACAAATGCATTTGCTATTTAAACAGCGTGACCCAAAACGTCAAAAGACTCTTGCGCCAAGCTGAAACTAGCAAACAACAATCGCGCCTTGCGCCACATTGCGCTGGGTGTATGACAGGGCCCCTAGTAACCGTCTGTGTGTGTTTTGTCTTGCTGTAGATGATCATTCTCGAGTGATCCTGCAGCCCATGGAAGACGACCCGTCGTCCGACTACATAAATGCCAACTACATTGATGTAAGTGGCGATGCCGCCTCCTCCTCCATTGGCGAACGTGTGAGAAACGTCTCTCCCTCCCTCGTATGTGAGGTCTTTTATGCATGCCTTTGTCTCAACTATTACACAATTTACAGCTTTCTTTTCTTCCTTGTTGGAGGTGCTTGCTGACTCACTGACATTGTTGTGCTCTCTCTCACTCTTGTGCGGTTGGTTTGGGGGCGGTAGATTTGGCTGTACAGGGATGTAAGTATCACTGTAGGGCACATGCACCCTTCCCATCATGCTCTCTGTCTGCTCTTCCCTCCACCGCCACTCATCCTCCTGTGGCTCTCGCTGGACGTCCCGCACGCTCACCCCCCACCCTGCCTGTGTCCCGGCTGACGCTCATGGTTTTGCTGTTGTGTGTTTTTGTTTTTCGTGGGAGGTTTGACGCAGCGTGTTTGATTCCTACAAATCCAGAATGTCAGTCTTGCTCTGGGGTGTGTTTCCCAAACAATGGTGTAACTATTAGAGTATGATGCGTCATTCAGGAAATGAACCATGTGGTGACAAGTGTCCTCCATAATTCATGGAAACAAGACTTTTTCTTTATTTTGTAAATTAAACTACACATGTCAATACTGTAGCCTAAGCTCATACACAAATCAGACATGTGGGCACACAATGACATGTAAGAAAAAAACAATTCATCAATTTGTTGTCTATAAAATTACATTTTGTGTCAGACATTTACAGATATTTAGTGCATTTTTTATTTATTTTCATCCTTATACAAAAAAAAACTTTATTTAATAATTTAAATAAAATTATTCTGTTCATCAAGGCGGCATTTATTAAATGTAAAAAAAAAGAATTGTTGAATTGTTAAATATTTATTTATTGAATATTTATTTATTACTTATTGTATGTAGTTTTGAATGAAATTATTACTCCAGTCATTGTTGCTTTTGTTACTTTTACCATTAAAAATATTAATATTAATAATAACAATAATAATAATAGCAATAATAATAACTATAATGATAATAATATTAATAATAATAATAATAATAATAATATAATAATAATAGCAATAATAATAACTATAATGATAATAATAATATTAATAATAATAATAATATTATTATAATAATAATAGCAATAATAATACCTATATTGATAATAAACTTATTATTAATAATGATAATAATAACAATAATAATAATAGCAAAAGTAATAACTACAATGATAATAATAATATTAATAATAACAATATAATAATAATAATAATAATAATAGCAATAATAATACCTATATTGATAATAAACTTATTATTAATAATGATAATAATAACAATAATAATAATAGCAAAAATAATAACTACAATGATAATAATAATATTAATAATAACAATATAATAATAATAATAATAATAATAGCAATAATAATAACTATAATGATAATAATTATATTAATAATAACAATATAATAATAATAAAAATAATAGCAATAATAATAACTATAATGATAATAATTATATTAATAATAACAATATAATAATAATAAAAATAATAGCAATAATAATAACTATAGTGATAATAATAAAATTAATAATAACAATATAATAATAATAATAGCAATAATAATAACTATAATGATAATAATAATATTAATAATAACAATATAATAATAATAAAAATAATAGCAATAATAATAATAACTATAATGATGATAATAATATTAATAATAACAATATAATAATAATAGCAATAATAATAACTATAATGATAATAATAATATTAATAATATTAATATAATAATAATAATAGCAATAATAATAATAACAACATTTTAGAACAGTGCCGTAGTAGATAGTGCTGTTGCCTCACAGCAAGAAGGTCGCTGGTTCGAGCCTCGGCTCAGTTGGCGGAGTGTGTGGAGTTTGCATGTTCTCCCAAGTGAATTGGGGTAGGCTAAATTGTCTGTAGTGTATGAGTGTGTGTGTGTGTGTGTGTGTGTGTGTGTGTGTGTGTGTGTGTGTGTGTGTGTGTGTGTGTGTGTGTGTGTGTGTGTGTGTATGTGTGTGTGTGTGTGTGTGTGTGTGTGGATGTTTCCCAGAGATGGGTTGCGGCTGGAAGGGCATCCGCTGTGTAAAAACATGCTGGATAAGTTGGCGGTTCATTCCGCTGTGGCGACCCCGGATTAGTAAAAGGACTAAGCCGACAAGTAAATGAATGAATGAATGAATGAATGAATAACTCATGGCACATTTTTAAAAAAAAGTAACTCAAATAGTATGACTTAATTTTGAAAACTTAAATCGTTACTTAAAAAGTAATATTATTACGTAACTCGCATTACTTGTAATGCATTACCCTCAACGCTGTACATATCTATAAAATAAAACTTTTTCCAAGCTATAGAAATGTAACCTTCCTAGTTAATCATAAAAGTCACTGTTCTACATAACTAAACACTGATTTATTCAGCTTTTATATTCATTTTAGTAATATTATTTTTACTTAAAATATGCAAATGCTTCTATGATTTATTTACAATGCACAGCTTGTAAAGTTGTTTTAATGTTTTTAGTAGATCTATTTCATCAGAAACTTTATAATGTTGGATATGCACTGGTAATCTTAAATAAAAGTTAAAAAGGTTAAAAAATATATATATTTTAAGTTTTTCGTTACTATACTTGCATAAATCCACAGATGTTTTATTTATTTATTTTTTTGTCTATTTTTTAAAATTGTGCACAGAAATAGCACAAAATGTCCACTACATCTGTCTGGCCCTGTTTGCACTCAAGTGTGGAGTGCACTTTGAAGGGAGCACAATTGTCACTCTGAAGATCATTAAACTGAACTGTAAGAAAAATAGTTTTGAGAGCAAATTAAAGGTCCCATGAAATAACAATAAAGCTTTAAGATGTCAGTATCAGTATTGTTATTTTTTAGATTTCTATAAGCAAGTGTGCTCCAAAACAGTGACAGAAATCACATTTAGAAGATATAACACTGATATAAACATGTAAAGCTTGCAGTTCGTCACTTCCGCCTAAATGGATCAACAGTTTTATTCACGTCACCTCACACTACAGTTTCTCATCACATCATAACCAATCAAATGCTCTGTAGTATCTGAAATGCCCCGCCCCCTTCAAGACGCTTCTCATTTGATTTTCATTTAACCACCCTCACTGATAAAACTAAACACTATTGGCTGTTCTTTGGGATTACATCAAACATCCAATAATAATCCACATTTCAAAGCACTTCACGGGACCTTTAAAGCAGATGTTTGTTTGAACTATATTCATCACGATAAACTTGCACACTTAGTTGACTACGGATGGATTTGGGAAGCGCACCCCAGGCTAGATAAACCTAACTTCTGCATAGGCCACTGTAAAATCAATTAACCTCAGAAATGTTGATTTCTTTGCTGCTTCTTTGATTACTGAAGTGTTGTTTTGGTTTCTCCTGCAGGGATACCAGCGGCCCAGTCATTACATCGCAACTCAAGGTAAATGTAAACGGTTGAATAAATATTTTCCTTTTTTTTTTCTTTTTTTCCATTTATTTAACTGCTTTTATTCTAGCCGAAATAAAACAAATAAGACTTTCCCCAGAAGAAAAAATATTATCAGACATACTGTGAACATTTCTTTGCTCTGTTAAACATCATTTAGGAAATATTTAAAAACGAAAATAAATTCAAAGGGGGGCGAATAATTCTGACTATAACTGTAGATTAGACACTGTACATGTGGAGTCATTCATTCCTGTCTATTTGATCTCTAGTCTATTTTTAGTTTATCATTCGACTCCTATTCAGTTTTCACGGAAAACCCAGATTTAGCTTGCTTTAGCAAGAGGTTTGTGTTTGGATGTCTAGTAGATGACTTTTAGGGCTCTATTTTGACGGTCCATGCGCAGAGCTCAAAACGCAGGGCGCAAACGCTTTCAGGGCGTGTCAGGATGCGTTTTTGCTAATTTAAGGACGGGAAATCTGCCTTGCGCTTCGGCGCATGGTCTAAAAGGGTTTAGTTTATTTTCTTAATGAGTTATAGGTGTGTTTTGAGAATAAACCAATCAGAGTCTCATCTCCCATTCCCTTTAAGAGCCAGCTGCGTCACGCCAAGAGCACATTCACTATTTACAGGACACAAAGTAAGTCTAAGTGGAAAAAATGAGCATTTCACAAGCAAACAGTTCACAGTATTATAACAGAAAACTGTTAAACAGAGCATCTACTGCGTGAGAATGAGAGATAATGGATCACTTTCACTTTTGCTCTTGGATAGGGAAACCTTTACGCACAGACATCAATTAGTCTATAAATAATTAATTTTGTTTGTTAAGCGCAAATATTCGTTTCAAAACTATTTCTAAATTCAGTTCTAATTTCCAGCAAACGAATAAATGAACAATAATAACTAAGTGCGCTCAAAAACCTGAGTTATATCCTAAAACACATGCTGAGCCCCATATGGTCTAAAACCTGACAGGTGGGCAAATCTAAGCTTGTTTTTAATAAAACAAATATAAATATGGATATAATAAATAATACTGCTAATAATAATAACATTATACAAAAGCACATTGTTATGAATGAACTGAAAAAGCCTCCCGAGATGAAGAAGACATAAAAGCAGTGGTTTTCATATTTATGTCGGCTAGAAAATAATATGTTTTGTAATATTTTAATCCTTTATATTTATATTCTATATCTATTCTTATTATATCCTCTATATATCCTTAATGTTTAAATTTTTTCATATGTAAAGATATTTGCCTATTGCTCTCTTGTGTGTATTAAGCAGTGTGTAAGCGAGGTGCAACTCTGCGCTGGAGTTTAGACCGGGTTAGTTTTGGTCTAATGAAAAATCTATTATAGTTTCTCAAAATAGCAACGCGCCAGCGGTCCGCCTCAGAACACCTTCCTTTTTAGACCAGAACGCCTATGGGTGCACATATGAGCGCTAATGCATTTGCTATTTAAACAGCGTAGCGCAACGCCTCAAAACCACTCTTGCGCCAAGCTAAAACTACCAAAAGACTACTGCGCCACGCCTTGCGCCACACTGCACCGGGTGTATGATAGAGCCCATAAACACACAATTGCTTAATACTGATTTGTGTAGGAAACTACATGTGTTAAGGTTGGGTTCAGGGATAGGCATTAGTACTCAATACAATAAATGCTCATTATTTATTATTTTTAATAATTTACATTTACTATTTTTACAGGAGAACAAATAGTTGCGAATATACACTGTGCTCAGCCTCGGTGTGTTTCTCCACAAGCTCATCCTCTCATGTGTGTTTGCGTGTGTGCAGGTCCTGTCCACGAGACGGTGTATGACTTCTGGAGGATGATCTGGCAGGAGCAGTCGGCCTGTATCGTCATGGTAACCAACCTAGTGGAGGTGGGCCGGGTATGTGCCTATAGTGCCTGCTGAGGGGCCGCATGTGTGTCCGTGTTTGTGTGTGTGTGTTTTGTGCTCTGTGACGTGACCTGAGGCCCCTGCCTGATGAAACCTTTTGAAGAGTGAGATATTTCATCTGCTCTGATGGACAAAAGCGGCTCAATCCCACACAGCCTGTCGTAGTTCACCACTAAATCAAACCAAAGAATAATGGTGATGACTTTGCAGCACTTCTCAAAGGGTTGAGGCATGTTTTTTTATCATTTTGCATGTTTTAGTGGTAAGTTCATATTTATATATGTTATTTATGTTATTTAAATATGTTATGTATATAACATACTTATATATATTAGTTATATATGTGCATTTGAAATGACTTCACAGCAGTCGGAACGCTCAAATCATTTCATACACTGCAACAAATGCTTTTCCTACTTAGAGTTTTTGTCTTGTTTCTAGTCCAAATGTCTAAAACTTCCTATCCGCTTGTTAATTCTGCCGACCAGCTACCGGGTCCTTGACATCATCAACTTTCGCTTTAAGATTTAAAGGGCCAGCACTGCACCAGACCCCCATAAGTGGTTTGGTTTGAAAGTGTAGAATCTATATTTTATGCACATATGCATCACTTTGGTTTTTATTCTACTGTACAAAAGTTATTTACACTTAAACACACAGTATTTTGGATACCTGAGCTGGGTATTTTACATTGGTTCATTTTCATATTTTTCATATGACACATGTACAAGTTATAGCTCAAATGAAAGCTCTTGCTGGTGCTCATACGGCTCCAGCATTCTTTTTACTGAATTATATTCACATATCAAACAGTTGCTGAATGAATCGTGCTGTTTCCATGGTGCAGAAGTGAAAACAATACATTAATGATCAATAAGCAGCCCCAGATAGCACAGACAGCTGTCATCTCTTACCTTATGCTGTGCGCTTCAGGGCCATTCTCCTGTGTTTTTGAGCTGATGTGCATAAGTAATCCTTTTATATGTCTGACGTGCTCCAAACACAGTGAATTATGTTTGATCAAAAAAACTACAAAAAGCGCCTCTTTTTTAGGTGTTTATTATAACACAGACAACATATACAGATGTTTTAAACACTTTCAATAGTGTTTAATGAAAATTCAAAGGGTTTTCTTGAAAATGATACCAAATTTTTGCATTTACACCTCTGCATGTGGATTTGGGAAGCTTTTAAATTTAGGTAGACAAAATCCAGGCGGAAATTCTAAAATAGCAGCAGAGTTTAACTGGTTAAAGTGTGACGTCACGCGATGCAGCTTCCAGGTCCAAGCGCTATATCAAACTGTATGAAGAGACTCATTAAATGAGTCAATATATAGATCCATGCCTAATATCCGATGGCCAGAAAGTGATTGATGTGTTATAAATTGTTCAAATGATGCAGCAAATCCAGAGACTGATGTGTACACTATGGTTTTATATAAAGTCACTTTAATGTGTGATATGACTAAAAAGTGGGCATGAACAAATATTTTCTCAAGTCAAATGAGTAGCGGCTTGGACCCGGAAACAGTAATCTATACATCACAGATACGTCACAACTTAACAAGCGGATATCACGAAGCATTTTCTAGGCATGCAAAACCGTCTTGTTTTCAGAAATAATATGCCAATATTAAGTAAGTAACAAGCAAAACAATCTTCCAATGGGGTAAGAGAAATATTCTTGTTTTTCCTTTTGACATAAGACTATTTTCTTAAGCCCATTTGCAGATTATTTTGCTTGTTTTTAGGAAAAACTCACTTAATTTTGGCGTATTATTTCTTAAAACAAGACTCTATGTTTTGCTTGTCTAGAAAATGCTTCTTAATTTAAGAATTTTTAGATATTTGGACTAGAAACAAGACAAAAAATCTAAGTAAGAAAAGCATTTTTGCAGTGTATGGCAGTTAACAATAACGTCTTCCAGCATTAGAAGAAAATCTTGACTGCTGTGAATCAATGTCTCTGTGCTGCTCTGCATTGGTCGATGTTGTGACTGTATTTAAAGGGACAGCTTATTCAAAAATAAACATTTACTCACTATTCACTCTGCCTCAAATGGTTTTAAACCTGTATGAGTTTCTTCTTCTGTCGAAATTTAACATTTTGAACGCTGATATATTGAGGTCAGATCTCCAATATCATTCTAATTATCTTCATTTGCAAACTCAAACAGGTTTTGAACGAGTGAATGGAGATTAAATGATGACAGAAATTTACATTTTGTGTGAACTGTGCCTTTAAGATTTACATTTCGGGTGAACTGTCCCTTTAAGATTTACATTTTCGGCGAACTGTCCCTTTAAGATTTACATTTCGGGTGAACTGTCCCTTTAAGATTTACATTTAGGGTGAACTGTCCCTTTAAGATTTACATTTCAGGTGAACTATCCCTTTAAGATTTACATTTTCGGTAAACTGTCCCTTTAAGATTTACATTTCGGGTGAACTGTCCCTTTAAGATTTACATTTCGGGTGAACTGTCCCTTTAAGATTTACATTTCGGGTGAACTGTCCCTTTAAGATTTACATTTACGGTGAACTGAACCCCTTTAAGATTTACATTTTGGGTGAACTGTCCCTTTATGATTTACATTTCGGGTGAACTGTCCCTTTAAGATTTACATTTCGGGTGAACTGTCCCTTTAAGATTTACATTTCGGGTGAACTGTCCCTTTAAAGATTTACATTTCGGGTGAACTGTCCCTTTAAGATTTACATTTCGGGTGAACTGTCCCTTTAAGATTTACATTTCGGGCGAACTGTCCCTTTAAGATTTACATTTACGGTGAACTGTCCCTTTAAGATTTACATTTTGGGTGAACTGTCCCTTTATGATTTACATTTCGGGTGAACTGTCCCTTTAAGATTTACATTTCGGGTGAACTGTCCCTTTAAGATTTACATTTCGGGTGAACTGTCCCTTTAAAGATTTACATTTCGGGTGAACTGTCCCTTTAAGATTTACATTTCGGGTGAACTGTCCCTTTAAGATTTACATTTCGGGCGAACTGTCCCTTTAAGATTTACATTTCGGGCGAACTGTCCCTTTAAGATTTACATTTCGGGTGAACTGTCCCTTTAAGATTTACATTTACGGTGAACTGTCCCTTCAAGATTTACATTTCGGGTGAACTGTCCCTTTAAGATTTACATTTCGGGTGAACTGTCCCTTTAAGATTTACATTTCGGGCGAACTGTCCCTTTAAGATTTACATTTCGGGTGAACTGTCCCTTTAAGATTTACATTTCGGGTGAACTGTCCCTTTAAGATTTACATTTCGGGCGAACTGTCCCTTTAAAATTCAAACTCGGTCCTGGAAGGCCGGTCAGCTGCAGATTTTAGCTCCAGTTTGCCTCAACACACCTGCAGGGATGCTTCTAGAAAGCCTGCTAAGAGCTTGAGTCGGTGTGTCTGATTGAGTTGGAACTAAACTTAGCAGGGCACCGGACCTCCAGGACTAAGTGTGGACACCCCTGCTTTAAGATGAATAAAAAAAAATGTCATCAGCGTTCACTCACACCCAAGTGGTTCTAAACGTTTATGAATTTCTTTCTTCTGTTGAACACTAAAGAAGATATTCTGAAGAATGCTAGGAAAAAACAGCCATTAACCTCCATTATAAGAATAAAAAATACAGTGTTTTTCAGAATTCTTCAGTATATCCTCCTTAGTGTTCAGCAGAAGAAGGAAACTCAAACAGGTTTGGAACAAGTGGAGTTATGAGCAAAGGAAAGTACATGTTTTTGGTGTACTGCCTCTTTAAGAGAGTCTTTAACGAGCATACAAGTGTCCCTGACATCATAAACATTGCATGTTTTCCGCTCTGTATTTTATGTTTGCTTGATCTCGTCCTCCTCTAGGTCAAATGCTATAAGTACTGGCCTGATGATGCTGAAGTTTACGGAGATTTCAAGGTCACATTTGTGGAGGTCGAGCCGCTCGCTGAATATGTTGTCAGGACGTTCACTCTGGAGAGGGTGAGATTATTTTGATGATGTTTAATGGTGTCTCATTATTGATGTTCTTTTGCAAATACAGTAAGTGTAATTCTCTCTGACCCTACAAATCATATGTGATCCATTCCAGAATTGTTTTTTCATCGATTTTCCTTAAACTGTAATGATGTACAACTAATTATCCATTATTCATGTAAAATAATACACAGTTCTTAACTGTAATAGGGAGCATTTGATTCTTTGGGCCCTATCATACACCCGGCGCAGTGTGGCGCAAGGCGTGATGCAGTAGTCTTTTGGTAGTTTCATCTTGGCGCAAGAGTGGTTTTTAGGCGTTGCGCTACGCTGTTTAAATAGCAAATGCATTAGCGCTCATATGTGCGCCCATAGGCGTTCTGGTCTAAAAAGGAAGGTGTTCTGAGGCGGACCGCTGGCGCGTTGCTATTTTGAGAATCTATAATAGATTTTTCATTAGACCAAAACTAACCCGGTCTAAACTCCAGCGCAGAGTTGCACCTCACTTACACACTGCTTAATACACACAAGAGAGCAATAGCCAAATATCTTTACATATGAAAACATTTAAATATTAAGGATATATAGAGGATATAATAAGAATAGATATAGAATATAAATATAAAGGATTAAAATATTACAAAACATATTATTTTCTAGCCTACATAAATATGAAAAACCACTGCCTTCATGTCTTCTTCATCTCGGGAGGCTTTTTCAGTTCATTCATAACAATTTGCTTTTGTATAATGTTATTATTATTAGCAGTATTATTTATTATATCCATATTTATATTTGTTTTATTAAAAACAAGCTTAGATTTGCCCACCTGTCAGGTTTTAGACCATATGGGGCTCAGCATGTGTTTTAGGATATAACTCAGGTTTCTGAGCACATTCTGCTATTATTGTTCATTTATTCGTTTGCTGGAAATTAGAACTGAATTTAGAACAAATCTTTGCGCTTAACAAACGAAAGTATTTATTTATAGGCTAATTGATGTCTGTGCATAAAGGTTTCCCTATCCAAGAGTGAAAGTGAAAGTGATCCAATATCTCTCATTCTCACGCAGTAGATGCTCTGTTTAACAGTTTTCTGTTAACTGTGAACTGTTTGCTTGTGAAATGCTCATTTTCCCACTTAGACTTACTTTGCGTCCTGTAAATAGTGAATGCGCTCTTGGCGTGACGCAGCTGGCTCTTAAAGGGAATGGGAGATGAGACTCTGATTGGTTTATGCTCAAAACACACCTATAACTCATTAAGAAAATAAACTCAACCCTTTTAGAACATGTGCCGCGGCGCAAAGCAGATTTCCCGTCCTTAAATTAGCAAAAACGCGTCCTGACACGCCCTGAAAGCGTTTGCGCCTTGGTTTTGCGCTCTGCGCATGGACCGTCAAAATAGAGCCCTATGACTGTGGTGTTTGACTTATTCTGCAACTTTTAAAACCACTAACATAGTTGAGGGTTACAGAGTTGCATAAAAACTTGCTAGATAAGTTGGCGGTTCATTCCGCTGTGGTGACCCTGGATAAATAAAGGGACTAAGCCAACATGAAAATGAATGAATGAATGAATAAAGCTGAATGTATGATTAAGACAAATTAAGTTAGTATTGTCAAGACTAAATGTCCATACGTACACATAAAATAATTTTTAGAGTTAACTTAATCTCATTTATCTTATTCAAAATGTTTTTGAATTGTAATTCAAGGCTTATCGGGAGATGCAGAATGATCCCACAATTCTACAATCACCCATGCACTTCTGTTTGGGTGCTGTCGTTGTGTCTGTGCATGTCTGAGGATGTGTTCTCATCTCTAACTTCACTTTCTGAAATGTGTGAAGCCACTTTGTCTGATATTCACACAGGTGTTTAATCTTTAACACCTGTCCATCTCAATGATCTGCTAACCACACACACACACACACACACACACACACACACACACACACACAGAGAGAGACTTTGGCTTCACCATTGCATCTGTGGTTTTGAAATTGCGCTTGTGTGTTTTTCTTTACTCTTTCTGTGATGTGTGTTCTTGCTGAGTTACAGTGTTGTGAGTGTTATGTGCATGTGATTTGTTTTGTGCATGATTGTTTTGGTCTTTTTTTTGACAGAGGGGTTTCAATGAGGTGCGAGAGGTGAAGCAGTTTCATTTCACCGGCTGGCCTGATCATGGAGTGCCGTATCACGCCACCGGACTGCTGTCCTTCATCAGACGAGTGAAGATGTCCAACCCGCCCACCGCTGGGCCTATAGTCGTCCACTGCAGGTACACACACACACACACACACATTAGCACTAATGTTGGTAAAAGAGACTTCTATGGCTGCGTTTACACTGTGAATCTTGATGGTCAATTGTTCTGAACAGGGGCGGACTGGCCATCTGGCAATTCTGGCAAATGCCAGAAGGGCCGGACCATTTTTTTAAAGTGGGCCGGTCAGCTATTTATTTATTTTTTTCATATGTATTGTTTTTTAAATGTAGTCAGCTTTTATCTCATGAGAGATGTGAATATTATGATGATGATGGTGATAATAGTAAGAATAATAGTAAATGTTAAGCATTGGCCCAATCGGCAACAACCGGCTGGTTTCGAGATGGGCCGACCCAATCTGAGGTTACGCAGACACAATCAAAATCTGGCAAGAATGTCAAACAAACAGTGAGTCCAACACAAGCTAATTGTCAGAGATGGACCATAAAAAGGGAAAGGCAGTCAAGTCAGACATTGCCCATTACATAAAATTAACTGAACTAGAAAGAGGGCAGTGCAGTGGCGCAGTAGGTAGTGCTGTTGCCTCACAGCAAGAAGGTCACTGGTTCGAGCTTCATCTGGGTCAGTTGGTGTTTCTGTGTGGAGTTTGCATGATTGTGTGGGTTTCCTTCACAAGTCCAAACTAGGGTTGTAACAATATACTGGTATGACGGTCTACCACGATTTGAACGTGCACGATTATCATACCATGAACAATTGCATATCAACGGTTTTAACCCTTAAAGACCGAGACAGCCGCCCGCGGCTAAAAATAAGTATTGCTATTAAATGTTTAATAACTTTTGATCCGCTGATCCCATTCATACAATTCAAAGATTGGCATAAAGAAGAGAATCTCAGCTTTATATTCACATACATTAAATGTTTAAATATCTCTTAAATATGTTACTGCTTATATAATTTTACCATCTGTACACCAATATAAGTAGTGAATGTGCATGTCCTTGGTGTGGCTACAGTGCCAGGGCTGATTTTTAGTCCCAGTCCGCCCCTGGTCCTGAATAAAAAAGAGCTCTGGTAATAAAAGAGTGCTCTTTCCTCCATTCCTGTATTTAATCTGTTATGTAATGTAGTTTTATTCTGTATATACACAGCGGGGGAAATAAGTATTCAGCACGTCACCATTTTTCTCAGAAAAATGTCACCGTACTTTTCAGAGGCCTGACCTGCTTTAATGAACAGCAGAGGCTGACGTTCGCTCTCCACGTCTAGACGTTTGACTCTGGTGCTTGTGCACTCTGCAGGATGTGATGTAGAACAGTCTGCTGGTGTTGAGCAGAATGCATTGTCATTGGCTAGTGACGTCACTTCCTGTTCTGATCTTAGGGTAAGGCCTCATTAGCATATGCGGTTGGTTCTGTACTGGTTTTACCCACTGTACATCAAGCGGTCCACATCTGACACTGTTGGTCAGTCTGTCAATGTTCTTCTGCCAGACGTGTTAAATGATGAGGATGATTTCACCATGGTACAGCACCACGCTGCTGCCGCTCGTGCCCCGAGAACAGGATGTGGTCTCGCCTGCAGAGCTGCATGCAGCAAAACAATCCCATAATGCAGCTTTCTGTTTCTTTAAACTGGTTACAGTGTTTGTTTGCCGCCGGCTTTGTTCTTTTGGAGTCTGAAAAACTGCACGTGAGCTGATTTAAAGAGCTAAACCAAGTGCTTCTCAAACTGTGTGCCCGCTTGCAGGAAGACTCCTAAAGGGACAGCTCACCCAAAAATAAAAATCTGTCATCGTTTACTCATCCTTCATTGCTCAAACCTTATTTGTTTCTTTCTTCTATTGAACACAAAAGAAGATCGTATGAGAAATGCTGGTTGCTGGCACACACTGGACACTATCATACACCTGGTGCAATGTGGTGCAAGGTGCAATGCAAATGTTTCTTGCTAGTTTCAGCTTGGCGCAAGAGTCTTTTGACGTTTTGTACCACGCTGTTTAAATAGCAAATGCATTTGCGCTTATATGTGCGCCTATAGGCGTCCTGGTCTAAAAAGGGAGGCGTTCTGAGGTGTATTGCTGGAGCGTTGCTATTTTGAGAAACTATTATAGATTTTTCAATTGACCAAAACAAAGCCGGTCTAAAGTCCAGCGCAGAGCGCGTTAGTTATGCACCTCACTTACACACTGCTTAATACACGCAAGATGTAGAGCAATAGGAAAATATCTTTACATATGAAAAATAATTTAAATATTAAGGATATATAATAATATATATATAGGATATAAATATAAAGGATTAAAATATTACAAAACATATCATTTTCTAGCCTACATACATTTAAAAACCACTGCCTTCATGCCTTCTTCATCTCGGGAGGCTTTTTCAGTTCATTCATAACAATTTGCTTTTGTATAATGTTATTATTGTTAGCAGTATTATTTATTATATCCATATTTATATTTGTTTTATTAAAAAGGTTTTAGATCATATGGGGCTCAGCATGTGTATTAGGATATAACTCAGGTTTTTGAACACACTTTGTTATTATTGTTCATTTATTAGTTTTCTGGAAATTAGAACTGAATTTAGAAATAGTTTTGACACAAATCTTTGCGCTTAACAAACAAAATTAATTATTAATAGGCTAATGGATGTCTGTGCGTAAAGGTTTCTCTATCCACGAGAGCGAAAGTAGATAATGGAGGCTCATCTCTCATTCTGGCGCTGCAGATGCTCTGTTAATCTGGTTTCTTGCTAGTGAAATGCTCAGTTTTTCCACTCACACTTACTTTACACCATGTAAATAGCTAATGTGCTTATGGCATGATGCAACTGGCTCTTAAAGGGAATGGGAGATGAGACTCTGATTGGTTTATTCTCAAAACACACCTATAACTCATTAAGAGAATAAGCTCAACCCTTTTAGACCAAGCGCCACGGCGCAAAGCGGATTTTTACATCCTTAAATTAGCAAAAGTGGCGTCTGACACGCTCTGAAAGCGTTTACGCTTTGCACTTTGCACATGGATCTTCAAAATAGAATCCATTAAATTGCTTGTCTAGAAAATGCATCCTAATTTAGGAATGTTAAGATATTTGCACTAGATATAAGACACTATGGGCTCTATTTTGATGATCTAGGCACAAAGTCCAAAGTGCAGGGCGCAAAAGCATTAAGGGTGTGTTAGAATAAACGGATTATAAAGCTGATTATGGTGAATGACTATGATTCTTCGAAGTTTCTCTTGTGTTTTTTGTTGCTGGAATCTTGTCGTGTCGCCTGTTAGCACTCAATGTCAGACAGTTTACACATAAAAGTGTGTCCAGATCACTACTAATGAATCTTTAAGAAAAGCTCAGATGTTTGAGGGGGTTTAAAGCGAAGTGGACTCTCTCTCACACACACACACACACACACACTGCATCACATCTTTCACTGTGTGTTTGATTTATTCTGTGTTTGCGTGTGTTTCAGTGCCGGAGCCGGACGGACCGGATGTTACATCGTGATCGACATCATGCTGGACATGGCTGAGAGAGAAGGAGTGGTGGACATCTATAACTGCGTCAAAGCTCTGCGCTCCAGACGAATCAACATGGTACAGACCGAGGTGTGTGTGGCCTTCTGAATCTGATCTTTTTCTCATAATTAAATGTACAGTCATGTGAAAAAGTCCAGACGGTCTTCGCAATTAAAATTGTTTCTATATCAAGACATAAAAGTGATCCGGGGTCTCATTTATAAATGCGGTGTACGCACAGAACGACACAGTAACAGTACAGTACGCACAGTAATTTAATTAACATGTATTTGGGTCTGTTTTCACTTCTATCAAGGGCTCTACGCAATTATATAATTCAAATGTGTAAATCTTGTGTTTCTCACACGTGGCTTTTCTATCTTGAATTCATTTGATGTTTTTCAGTAAATAATCAGATGATATGAGGCGTTATCTAACAAGTTTTTAGACCTTTTAAGTTCAGAAGGGTGTGATAACTTTTGCACATGACTGTATTTGCATGAAGCCAATACTGCTGTTAAAATTGATATGGAAATAAAATATTCAACTTTCGCTAGAAGACTTACTTTTACGCTAAAACATTTGTTCTGTGATAACCACCGGCGGGATGTACTTTATTCCTTATTTTACAGGCACAACTTTGGATTGATAAATACTGTACAAATAGATTACCTAAATAGATTTGCACTTCTATAAATGCTTTTCTTATTTAGAGGTTTTGATTTATTCCTAGTCCAAATGTCTAAAACTTCTTAAATCAAGATGTATTTTCTCTGCTTCAATGACAAGGAAAAAGTACTGTGTTGTTCAGAAATAATAAGACAAAACAAGCAAAATAATCCCCAAATGGGCCCAGCAAAATCATCTTACTTCAAAGCAAAAACAAGATTATTTAGCTCATGCCATTGGCAGTTTATTTAGCTTGTTTAAAAGAAAAACTCACTTCATTTTGACATATTATTTCCGTAAAAAATGCGATATTTTTATTTGCCTGGAAAATGCTATTTGATTTTAGAAGTTTAGATATTTCAACTAGAACTAAATCAAAAAACTTGAACAGGGTTTTTGAAATGAACCTTTTTGCTTAAAAAAGTTAGGAGCACCAGCCAAAATTTAGTCCCACCCACCATTTATAAGCACCGCTACTACACGTTTTATTGTTATATTGACCTTTTTGCTGCATTTGGAATCAACACTAAACAATCTATCAAGCAAAACGACATCTGCATGGCCCACCGGCGCTGCACGCACGGCTTGACATGAATGAAACTTCGTTAACCACAATATCTTTGCTGTTCTCACGGGTGCTGTGTAATATTGCACAGATAATACGGACATAATAGCTTATTATTTGCATACGTCATCTTAATAGCAATATCGTTTTTTAATGAGCTGCAATATTAGTTTTATCTTAATGAATGCAAGCCCTTTTGCGATGGTGTACGTGGTGTTACGTTTTACATATAGCTGCCACCTGCACAGCATCCTGACGATTAAATGGAGAATTAAACAGAACCTCTCGCGCTGAAAGTGTAGATTTGGTGAACGATGTTACCTACAAACTCCGTCACACCGGCTTTATGATGAATGCTTTAGTCATTTTCATAGCGGACTTTAAACACTGGAAGTCTTGCATCCACTCTTGGAAAAGTGTAAAGGCTGGATTACATTCACCACATGATCATTGATCAGATGTGTCATTATTTGTAACTTTAGGTGTTTTTTAAAACTAAATCTGTCAGTGTTGTTTTCATTCTCTCATCTTCAGCGCTTCACATGTTCGCGGTTGTAGCTCTCCCTGTCACCTAAAGAAAGGCATCGACTGAGTGATTGACAGCTGATATCAACCAATCCGTTCGCATTCAGTGCTAGAACAGTGGACCAATCAGAAGAGCTTGAAGGCGGGGCAAGCATTGCGCTTTGTTTACTGCAGCAAGTTGACATGACTACTGTTTTAAACTATGAGCGCTGCGTTTGGCGTCTCAGGTGCTAAGATACGTTCTGGGTGAATGTCTGCTAAATCTGCGCATGTGGTAAACATTTTGCTGTGAAAAGCGGTCGCACGGCACCAATTTAATGCAGTATAATGCTCCCAAATATATTTTGAAGTCGCGTAGATAAAATTTTAGGCACATAAACAAACAAAACGGTCACAATTTCAAGCCCTGTTGAAGTAAGAAAAGCTTTCTTTGCAAGAAACAAGAACTAATGGAACCTTATAGTAAAGTGTGACCACTATAAGTATCTGCATGAAAGACCCCGCTTTCCCCTTTACTTGCAGGAGCAGTATATTTTCATCCACGATGCCATCCTGGAGGCGTGTTTGTGTGGCGAGACGGCCATCCCTGTGTGTGAGTTTAAAGCTGCGTATTACGACATGATCCGCATCGACTCGCAGAGCAACTCCTCGCACCTCAAAGACGAGTTCCAGGTACAGAAACGTGTGATTTATCCATGTGTTTTTCTACTGAATAGTGAAATTATTGAATTACTGCATAATTAAACAGTATTATTTCTACTACACTGAACTGAAGTAAATTGGTACAATATTAGGAAGCTATTTTTCATATGTGGTTTCTAAAACAACTCTATAATTTACTCACAGAACAAACCTAACCAAAACACTCCTAATTTATAGTCAAAGTTTTGTTTGTTTTGGTTTTAGCCTTGTGCAGAGATTGGTGATTATACGTTATCGTTTACTATATACCGATAGAGATATTCCCCACAATAAGAATGTCTTCCTGTAATTAAAAACGTTGAGTGTGTGTGCATGTGATAGTTTGACATGTGCTTGAGCCTGTTTAGAAACACAGATTTACTGACATATTTTCACTCTGTGTTCACTTCATAACATCAGACGAGTGTCTGAAAGCACTTCTTTTGTTGCCAGACTTGATTTCATGGGCCGGAGGTTGCTAAAGAACTACTGAGAGATTTCAGCTGCTGTCTGGGCTTTCCATGCCTTCCTATACCTTCCTTTCTTCATGTGTTCAATACTTTTCCCTTGTGTCTTTTTATTTTATTAAACATAACTTAATTTGTAAACTAATTAGATTTCTTTGCATAAATTGATTTCTTTGGTTGTTATCAACATCTGGGGGAAAATACGTTAGGTCAACATCACAGAAATTTGTTTCCTGGGGAAAATGGTGACGCGTTCAATACTTATTTCCCCCACTGTGAGTGTGCTGTTGTGTGTATGCTGATGTCCTGTGTGTCCCGTGCAGACGCTGAACTCAGTGACTCCTCAGCCTCAGCCTGAAGACTGCAGCATTGCGCTGCTTCCCCGAAATCACGACAAGAACCGCTTCATGGACAACCTGCCGCCCGACCGTTGCCTGCCCTTCCTCATCACCATCGACGGAGAAAGCAGCAACTACATCAACGCCGCGCTCATGGATGTAAGTATACCTGACCTGCAGGCCTCGCCGTACTGTACGTCTCCTGTATGCCAGAGCGATGATCTGTTTCCAAAACCTGCTGAACGGTTGACCACTGCCCTCTCACACAGCTAACGTTAGACTGTGCTTTACAATACAGCAGCACTAATACACAATCAATGATGCTTCACTAACGCACAGGTGACCATGAGGTTATAGCACAGGACTGACTAACTCATTCAAAAGCTGTAGCAATTCCTGCTATTCAGTACCTGTGATTAAGATATTGGCTGTTTATAAAGCACATACACTACTGATCAAAAGTTTGGGGTAGGTAGGATTTTTAAATGGTTGAAAATAAGCTTGTCCTGCTCACCAAGACTGCATTTATTGAATCAAATGCTGTACAAATTATAAAATTGTGAAATATTATTGCACTATAAAATAGCTGATTATAATTTAATTTAATTATTTCTTACAGTGTTTTAATAAAGATGATTTTAGCTTCATTACTCCAGTCTTTAGAGTCATATGATCCTTCGGAAATTACTTTATTATCATTATTATTATTTTATTTTTATTTAATATTATTATTATTAATATTATTGCTATAATAATAATTATTATTATTATTATATAATTAATATTATTATTATCATTATTATTATTATTAATATTATTATAGCATTATTATTTTTATTATTTTTTTATTATATCATTATAATTGTTTTTATTGTTGTTGTTGTTATTATTAATATTTTATTATGATTATTATATCATTATGATTTTTTTATTATTGTTGTTATTAATATTATTTTATTATTATTTTATTATTATTATTGTATTATTATTATTATTACTATTATTATATCATTACTTTTATTATTATTAATATTATCATTATATAATTATTATAATATCATTATTATTATTATTATTATTATTTCTAGTATTATTATATAATTATTATTATTATTATCAATATGTCATTATTATTATTATATCATTTATATTATTATTATTATTATTATCATTATATAATAATTATTATAATATTAATATTATTATTATGTCATTATTATTAATATTATATTATTATTGTTATTATTATCATTATTATTATTATTATTATTATTAAGCAGCTATTTAGGAGATTATTGTGCTGAAAATCAATAGTTTATTGTTTGCTAATAGTGAGGATTGCACCTTAACGGTCACATGAAGTCCTTTAATATGTGCATTTTTATATACAACTCACACATCAAGAGAGGGCGGGGCAGTGTAGCTCCTCCCCTTTATTAAAAAAACAGCCAATGTTTTACTCAGCTCTGCCAGTGAAAGTGGGTGAGCTCAAGCACACTAGATCCGGATGTTAATATCAAGTTTATATCTTCTAAATGTGAATTTTGTCCGTTTTTGGAGCACACTAGATTATAGGCATTCATAAGACCAACACACTGATACTTAACATCTAAAAAAGTATATAGCTGTGTCTCAGTCAAATATTGTCCTAATAGACCATACATACATGAAGAGATTATGGTCCCATTTATATTAAGTGTCCTTAACTACTATGTACTTACACAGTAATTAATAGTTTGTTACAATGTACTTGTTGTGTAAATGCATGTATTTACTGTGTACTTATGCTTGATTACATACATGTATTTAATTACATCTTTAATTAACTTTTGTAATTACATTTGTAAATACACTGTTGACCATCCCTTACACCTTAACCCACCCTTTAACCTACCCATACCACTAAATCTGTCCATAGCCCAACCTCTATCCCAACTCAAAAGCACAAGTGTTCTCAAATACATCATAAACGCAGTAAGTACATTGTATTTTTTTTTTATGCAAGTACATAGTAGTTAAGGACACTAAATATAAAGTGGGACAGAGATTATTCATTCAGCTTTCAGGTGATGAGTAAATCCCCATTTCTTGAAATGGACCCTATGACTGGTTTTGTAGGCCAGGTTCGCATATATCTTCTATACCGACATCACATCTTAACAAAAGCAGCTCAGAGTCATTAAAAATGGATTATCCGACTCCAGTATTTGCGCCGTGGCTTGCGGATTCTTCCTAAAGCGTGGTTCTGTTGGCTTAGCAACCTACTAACATCAAACTCTGTGGCCTCTTGTTTTTGAACGCTGTAGTTATTAGTGAGTAAGCTTGTTGCTTCAGAGGGCAGCTGTCAGTGTGGACAGTAAAGTCAGATCATTCAGTGGGTTTCGGAACGGACTTGCAGAAAGCTAGAGACAAATCCAGGTGGCAAGTCCTGTGAGTGGGACAGATGCAAGCGGGAGCCACTTTAAAAGCTAAACTACCATCAGACACACAACCTGGTGGTGGTGTCATAACAGTCTGATTGATATGTGTGCGATTATCTGTCTGAGTTAATTTCATCGTGGCTCATCTCCACTGAGCGGTACGGTATAGTACAGGATGCGTTTATTTACATTTCAACAGTCAGAGGTGGCAAAATAGTGAACTGTTCTGTGCCACTTTTCTGGGACCCTTTCTTAAGAGCACCTAATACAACAGTATGGGAGTAAATAGACGAGCTGGACTCCATTATTTCAATTCAGCGTGTAGAATCGGCTGGGTTGCCAGATTCAAGAAAATATTCCATCCACTGACAACTTGACAACCTCAACCCTACTGAAAAAACCAGCTTAAACCAGCCTAGGCTGGTTGGCTGGTTTTAGCTGGCCAGCCAGGCTGGTTTTAGAGGGGTTTTGGCCATTTCCAGCCTGGTCCTAGCTGGTCAGGTTGGGAGATGACCAGCTAAAACGAGCTTGACCAGCCTAGCCAGACTGGGAGCCCAGCCAAAACCAGCTATGTCCAGCTTAAACAAGGCTGGTCAAGCTGGTTTTAGCTGGATTTAGCTGGTCAATTTCCAGCTTGACCAGCTAAGACCAGGCTGGAAATGGCTGGAAACCAGCCTGGAAATGGCCAAAACCCCTCTAAAACCAGGCTGTTTAACCAGCTAAAACCAGCCAACCAACCTAAGCTGATTTAAGCTGGAATTTTCAGCAGGGAAAGGACTGAAAAGTAGCTGATTTTTTTATTCTGGTTTCCACAAAGGGAAAGATCATCACATCTTCTCTGACATTGTTTGATACACGTAGGCCTACTTATACAGGGTGGGCCATTTATAAGGATACATCTTAATTAAACGGGAATGCTTGGTGATATTAATGTCCTGCTTGTGGCACATTAGTATATGTGAGGGACAAACTTTTCAAGACGGGTAGTGACCATTGTGGTCATTTTGAAGTCGGCCATCTTGGATCCAACTTTTGTTTTTTCAATAGGAAGAGGGTCATGTGACACATCAAACTTGTTGGGAATTTAACAAGAAAACACTGGCGTGCTTGGTTTTAACGTAACTTTATTCTTTCGTGAGTTATTTACAAGTTTCCCATTGTGTTGGATTGTCAATGCAACCCTCTTCTCCCACTCTTCACACACTGATAGCAACACCGCAGGAGAAATGGCAGCACAGGCTTCCAGTATCCGTAGTTTCAGGTGCTGCACATCTTGTATCTTAATTGAAACCTTCTGGCGTACACCATGCCTACTTAGTAAGGGTAAACTTTTTCAGAGTAACCCATACAGAATCTGGCTGTACTGTACTGTACCGCTCTGAGGAAACGAGACCGTGGCTTCTTTCTGTAAAGTAAATGAATGATTTCTTCTTGATGGCTCTATATTGTCGTAAATTGAACTTTTTCAAAGTCATTCGGGTTTTCAAAAGAGAATAAAGTCCAACGTATTTTGATACCAAAACTGGTAATGGTGAGGTAAGTGTAAATGTGAATCTCTTGCTCTAAACGTGTTGAATTTCAGCTAAATTGTGAACATTCTGTCATCATTTCTCTCACCCTCGAGTCGATCCAAAACTGAATGTTTTTCTTTCTTTCTCACTGTGGAACACATTTGGAGATTGTTTAGCAGTGTTCACTTGCACACAACAAAGTCAATGTTGCGCTCCTAAAAAGTGCAAGAAACTACTGTAAAGGCTGATTTATACTTCTGCGTTAAGCATAGTTGACGTGAGCCTCTCAAAAAATGCAACTAACGCATAGCGCAAGCTCTGTGACTGGTCGGCTTGGTAGAGCTGACAAATGTGGGCGAATGTGAGAGCCGCGAGCATGATGCATTGACTATTCACAAGTGTGGAGTCTTGTGAAGGAGCTCCAGATGGAGACTATAGTTTTGTGTTTACCTTATGATTATAGTTGTTGAACGTCCGCCGATTCCCGCCTCAAAATGAGCAAGTTTGCCCACCTGTACATTAAGGTAGCGTTCAGAAAAAACTAAACTCCAGCAAAGAAACTTGACACAGAGGAACAAACACCTCACTGCCAGCTAGCGTTTCTGTGCAGAGGAACACAAACAGCGCGCAGAAGTATAAATGCACGGCTACGCGCAAAGCAGGTGCCGTGGGTCTTACTTAAAGCAGAAGTATAAACCAGGCTTAACAGTAGTGCACGCAACACACACTTCAATCATTCTTCTGCACAAATGGCATATTTTGGTTCAAATTTATACATCACGAAAGCACCATGAGTCATATAAACTAGAGTTAAAGGTTTATTCACCTAAAAATGAAATGAAAATTACTCAGACTCAAGTGGTTCTAAACCAGGGGTCTCCAATTTCGTTCCTGGAGGTCCGGTGCCCTGCAGGGTTTTGATCCAGCGCCCCTCAACACAACTGCCTGGGTCTTTCAAGTACACCTAGTAAGATCTTGATTAGCTTGTTCAGGTGTGTTTGATTAGGGTTGGAGATAAATTCTGCAGGACACCGACCATCCAGAAACAAGTTTGCTGATCCCTGTTCTAAACAATTTCATGAGTTTCATTCATCTATTGAACACAAATAAAGAAACTCTGAATAAAACAGCCATTGAAACCCATTTTAGAATAGAAGTCAAGGGCTGTTTTTTTGAGTGCCTGCATTTGTGTTCAACAGAAGAGGAAAAAACTCTTGGGGCTTGAGTAAATGTTGAAAGAATATTCACATTCTGATTTTGGTAAACGGAAAACAGCTGCCTGCAGATTTCTCCAGTAATCTCTCCTTTTGTCTGCCATGGAGGAAAGAAAGTCAGATTTGGTGTGACATGAAGGCGAGCAGATTCTCAGTTTTTAATGTGAGAGTGCATTTGTTGATATGCTGAGCCACGGGGTTTCCATCTCCTAGTTGTCCATCAGATACGGCAATGAATGTGATTAATTAGAGCTCTGCAAGCGTGTTCATTCTGACCCCTGACCCTGGGAGATGGAGCTCCAGCAGCCAGAATCACTGATAGATGCACTCAGGAAGTTGTGATTTTTAGAGGATAACTTTGAAATGGCTTCCTCGGACGCTTCACAAACTCTTGGACTTTTTTTAATCAAGCCGTCAGAAGAGTACCAGGTAATTTCTGATTCAGTTCTGCCTCTGTTAGACTGGATTTGTTTCGTGGCTTTAGTGGTATGTCAGCACTTTCCATTCAACCTTTCTCAATTTTGGGTTTGCCACAGCATGCAAAGAAAAACGAATGCATTTAACCGCGAATACATTTATCACACTTTATAAACACACGCGCACACAATTAAAAGACACGCATCATTATTCTGTCATGCTCACTGTGTTCTTTGCATGATCATACACACATCGACACGTCAGCCATCCTGACAACGGCTCCATCTTCGTCTTGGTTGTGTGTGAGTGTCATGAAGCGGATGTGTGTGCTGGAAGGTCATTGTGTTGTGTGTATGCAGAGCTACAGGCAGCCGGCCGCCTTCATCGTGACCCAGCACCCGTTACCCAACACCGTCAAGGACTTCTGGAGGCTGGTGTACGATTACGGATGCACCTCTATCGTCATGCTGAACGAGATCGATTTGGCCCAGGTGAGGTTCAAAAAAATCAAGCGTCTCTGAATGAGTGTTGGTTCTAATAATGAGAGTTCAAAGATTGCACTGTTAATTAGAAAAACAATGTAAGACGGGGGGGTGGGTTTGGTTGGTGTCGGGGGTGAGGTGTCTTAGGCCCCGTTTACACTAATGCGTTTTCGTTTTAAGACGCATAAGTTTTGCTACGGTTACGCCATCCGTCCACACAACGCCAGAGTTCTCGAGCGCCGAAAACGGAGCGTTTTGAAAACGATGGAGAGGCCGTTTTCATTCTATAACTTTGCTGCTCCGTCTCAGTGTGGATGAGGGAAAACAGAGACATCTGAAAACGGAGGCGGGGCTGCTGAGATTCGCTACCTGATTGGGGCTTTTGTGTCATTGCCTTCATCACTGAATCCTTCCCTTATTCGTCAAGCCCCTATCACATGACTATAACACATGGCTTTAACGCTACCGGAAGACAGAACTGTAAACAACAACATGGGCACAGAAATAGGAGCGTTGTTTGCACTATTGTCTGTTTTTGTCAGGGTTCTGCCACTTAGGGGTCCGTTCTTCGTACCTCGCTTAAACGATCTAAGATTATTTGGCAGATCCTAGATCTTTTAATCTTGATAACTGATCTCTCGCTAATTTTGGTTCTTCAAACAAGTTCGCGAATCAAATTAGAATATCTGGATGAACTGATCTGAGATCGCTGCGTATGTTGTGATATGACTAAAACTTTATATATATATATAGTTTAAAAATATCTACCACTTTCCCAAGTGTATATAACTACTACTGTAAGAAAATATCAGAATTAGGAACATACTTTCTGTATTATCTTTGCTTGAACTGAGCCGATCTAATCCTGTTTATATGAATTGAACCTGCTCCCGATCAGGTTTGAGCTAGCAGAACTGTTGCCATGACAACAACTCTCGGATCAGCTTTGAAGAACGAAACGATCCTGGATCATGTCAAATCGTCAATATCCAAATCCAGCTAACTGAGTAATCCACGTACGAAGACCGGACCCCTGGTCTTGTAAATTCTTGTTTTTGTGGCAGAGCTCTGACACTACCCATGCCTGGTCCTGTTTCTGTCTCTGCGTCCCTCAGTGTTTGTGTTTGTTCTGTCAGCATCGCGCTGCTTTATTCTCGGCGCCTCCGTCTAGTTGGTTTCAGTTTTGTTTGGCGCTGACATGAAGCATGCGCGTTGCTTATGTGTGAGCGCACGGTAAGGTGTTTATCTATCGTGTGCTCGTGTCTTGCGTCTCTTGTCAAAGCACGTGGCTCTGTGTTTACATCGTGGTCACGTGCTTTTGTCGTGTGCTTCAGTGTTGTGCTTGTCTTGTCATGAACATGCGGTTAATGAGTTCTCTCATTGGCTGCATGTTCTTGTCCTGTTTTATGTGAGCGCATGGCTTGTGTTGTCTCTCTGTGTCATGCGCTCTCCCGTCTATTGTCTAGTCCCACCCTCCTTGTTAACTCATTATTAGTTTGTCATGTTCACCTGTTTGTCAATTTACTTTTGCTTTATAATCCCCTCATGTTTTCAGTCCTGTGCCAGTTCGTTGTCTACACTCCCCCTGTGTTCCTGCTCCAGTCTTGCCTTGTCTTGCCAGCCCAGCCAAGTTTGTGTGTTTTGTTAATGTTTTCCCCCTCGGGGTGGTTTTGTTTTGCCTTTTATTTTTATTTTATTATTAATAAATACCCATTATTTCTTTGCACTTGAGTCCTCGCTCCTTTTCCCCACCCTGACCGTGACAGTTTTAGGCGCCATTGTGCAGTTATTCACATCAAAGCTCCTGAAATCAAGGTGCTCCAGGATTGGCCAGCCCAGTCACCAGACATGAACACTATTGAGCATGTCTGGGGTAAAGATGAAGTTGAAGATGAAAGAATCGTGATGAACTCTCCTGCAAGAACGCTTTGCCATTCCAGATGACTTTATTAATCAGTGATTTGAGTCATTGCAGAGATGTATGGATGTATATGTATTAAAGCTCACAACAACATTGGCTTTGCCCAGTGAATTGCCCAGCGCTGTGGGGTACGGCAATCACTCGATGCCCAAGAATAAATGAGGCTTCATCCATACCAACTGATACTGTACTGTGATTGGGCTGAGCAATATAATAGTATAAATCAGCTACTGGACAAAATATAAAGTCTATCATTTCATATTATGTCTTTTCCATGTGGGAAACGTGTTCATACATTTAAACTATTGATTTAATTTACAGAAAAGATACAATATCATAATATATGTTGTTATCAGGACATGAGGACTATATGAGATCACATGGCTCAGCCCTATTCTATATTGTGCTGAACCGTACTCCTCAGTGGAAACGAGATGGTACCAATTTTAGGAGTCTGTGTGACGCTTCAGCTGGTGATGCAGATGTCGTTGCTGTGTGCAGGGGTGTCCACAATACTGGCCCGAGGAAGGAATGCTCCGATACGGCCCTGTCCAAGTGGACTGCATATCCTGCTCCATGGACTGTGACGTCATCAGTCGTCTTTTCAGGATATGCAACCTGACCAGGGTGAGTTTCAGCCGGGACACGTGTCTTAGTCAGAAGTGTATTCTTATATTCTTATATGTGTGTGTTTGTGTGTGTTTAAGCCTCAGGAAGGATACCTGATGGTCCGGCAGTTCCAGTATTTGGGGTGGGCGGGGCATAGAGAGGTTCCCGCCTCCAAGCGCTCCTTCCTCAAACTGATCCTGCAGGTGGACAAATGGCAGGAGGAGTGTGAAGAAGGAGACGGGCGCACCATCATACACTGCCTGTGAGTACAAACCTGCGCAGCTAAAGACCAAAGCGGCAGCCATCATGGGACAATTCTGCTCTTTCTCAAATTGTGATGTTCAAGAGGGAACATTTTCCACAGTATTTCCTACTGTATTTTTTCTTCTGGAGAATTGTTTTACCTCACCGGTAAAAAGATATCGGTCAGACTTTACAATAAGGTTCACTAGTTAATGTTAATTAATGCGTTTATTAACATGAACAAACAATAAACAATACATTTACTACAGTATTTATTCATGTTAGTTAACGTTAGTTAATGAAAATACAGTTGTTCATTGTTAGTTCATGTTAACTCATGGTGCATGGTGCACTAATGTTAACAGGCATGGAGTTGGATGTTAATAATGCATTAGTAAATGTTCAATTATGATTAATAAATGCTGTACATGTGTTGTTCATGATTAGTTCATGTTAGTAAATGCATTAACTAATGAACCTTATTCTAAAGTGTTACCAAGATATCTAAAGTTGGTCACAGGAGTACCTCAGGGATCTGTTCTTGGTCCCCTTCTGTTCTCTATTTGGCTGGAATTTACTTTCATTTGTCTGAAATAATAAAAAAAGATCATAAAATCTGCTGTGCTCAGCATTATTATCCTCCTAAGAAATTATTTTTTTGTTATGTTTAACCACTGTTGTCCAATGACTTTCTCAGTTAACCTAATTAACCTAGATAAGCCTTTTAATTGCCTTTTTTAAAGCTGAATACTAGTATCTTGCAAAGTAACCAGTCAGAATTATTCGCCCCTCTTTAATTTTTTTTTTCTTTTTTAAATATTTCCCAAATGATGTTTAACAGAGCAAGGAAATGTTCACAGTGTGTCTGATAATATTTTTTCTTCTGGAGAAAGTCTTATTTGTTTTATTTCGGCTAGAATAAAAGCAGTTTTAAAATTTTTAAACACCATTTAAATGACAAAATTATTAGCTCCTTTAAGCTAATTTTATTTTTGATAATCTAAAGAACAAACCATCATTATACAATAACTTGCCTAATTACCCTAACCTGCCTAGTTACCCTAATTACCCTAGTGAAGCCTTTAAATGTCACTGTAAGCTGTATAGAAGTGTCTTGAAGAATATCTAGTCTAATATTATTTACTGTCATCATGACAAACATAAATAAATCAGTTATTAGAGATGAGTTATTAACACTATTATGATTAGAAATGTGCTGAAGCAATCTGCTCTCCGTTAAACAGAAATTAGGGAAATAAATAAACAGGGGGCGAATAATTCAGGGGGGGGCTAATAATTCTGATTTCAACTGTATATTGAAACCTGTAAGTAATATAGTTAAATATATTCCTCTTTCCGTGTGTGCAGGAACGGAGGCGGCCGCAGCGGGATGTTCTGTGCCATCAGTATTGTGTGTGAGATGATAAAGCGTCAGAATGTGGTGGATGTTTTTCATGCGGTGAAGAGTCTGCGCAACAGCAAACCCAACATGGTGGACAGTCCGGTACGAGCCGCAGGACATCACTCTGCTGTTACACTTTATTTACAAGCTAGATATATTCACACACAACTATGTTTAAGTCCTGCATAAAAGTCAGCTTTGCATAATAGTTGCCCTTTAAGCTGAGGACTTGATCAAATACATTTACATTTAGTCATTTAGCAGACGCTTTTATCCAAAGCGACTTACAAATGAGGACAAGGAAGCAATTTACACAACTATAAGAACAACAATGAAGAAGTGCTGTAGGCAAGTTTCAGGTCTGTAAAGTCTCAGAAGGGAAGTATTAGTAGTTTTTTTTTGTTTTTTTTTTGTACAGTTAGTGTGATATTCAGAGAGGCAATTGCAGATTAGGAAGTGTAGTGGAGAGTAAATAGTTGAGTTTTTAGTCGTTTCTTGAAAATAGCGAGTGACTCTGCTGTTCTGATGCAGTTAGGGAGTTCATTCCACCAACTGGGCAGATTGAGCGTGAGCGTTCGCGAAAGTGATCTCTTCCCTCTTTGGGATGGAACCACGAGGCGACGTTCATTCACAGAACGCAAGTTTCTGGAGGCACATACATCTGCAGAAGTGAGAGCAGATAAGAAGGAGCAAAGCCAGAAGTCACTTTGTAGGCAAACATCAGAGCTTTGAATTTGATGCGAGCAGCAACTGGCAGCCAGTGCAAACGGACTAGCAGCGGAGTGACATGTGCTCGTTTAGGTTCATTAAAGACCACTCGTGCTGCTGCGTTCTGGAGCAGATGAAGAGGCTTGATAGAGTTAGCTGGAAGCCCGGCTAGTAGAGAGTTGCAGTAATCCAGTTTGGAGAGAACAAGAGCTTGAACAAGGAGTTGAGCTGCATGTTCAGATAAGAAGGGTCGGATCTTTCTGATGTTATAGAGTGTGAATCTGCAAGATCGAGCAGTTTTAGAAATGTGGTCAGAGAAGTTTAGTTGGTCATCAATCGTTACTCCAAGACTTTTCACCATTTTGGGTGCAGTAATGGTTGCCCCATCCATCTGGATTGAAAAGTTATGATGAAGAGTCGAGTTGGTGTTGGATGAAGTCATCAAAAGAAATGAGTTACTAGAACTGAATTATTAAACTATTATGTACTCTCAGTAAGAAAAGCACTGCGATTGACAAAGAGCTGATAGTTGATGAGATGAAGCTCACGCTGTGCCGTTGTGTTGTTGTGTTACAGGAGCAGTACCGCTTCTGCTACGATCTGGCGCTGGAGTTCATCGAGACCTCATAATGGAGTCTGGGCTGATCTGGTGTCAGTCGGAGAAACACACAGCGTGGAGATCTCTGCGTCCGCCCTGACCGTCACCCGCTCGACTTTTATCAGCTTTCTTTGATTTCATTTGTTTTTTTAAAAACATTTGAGTTTCTCCAGTCATTTCTGTGCAGCCATTTAAAGCGAGCTGTTGCATGCGGAAGACGCTCTTTATTTCTCTGTGTCTCTCACTGTTCCTGTTAATAAGCATATATATATTCGTATTTGTGTAAATGGACATCGTTCTGAACGGACAAAAAGCAAACCTGTTCATCCGCCGATGGAGAGCGCGTCACTTTGGCTCAAAAAAGACTCTGCATTCCGCTAGAATGGCTGGCTTACTGTGTTTTTATTATTGTTTTTATGCAGATTTTTTATTACTGTTACTTTTTCTCTCGTTTTTTTCGGTAGCAGATGATGACCATAAGCCAAAGACTTGTGTAAATATGTCGATACGTATGAAGCACATTGTTTGTATTTATTGTTTACTTGCTTTTTTTGGAAGCTCAAAACAATCATTGCCATTCCTCGATTAGCCGAAATTTACACTGCACACACAAACACTCTTTGTAGTTGTTGTTTTTTTTAAGTATGAACTGGTTGACGTAGTGTTATTTTTGTTTGTTACGTTGTTGTATTTGAACATTGTTTCATTTGAAATCTTTCTGTGGGGTTTTTTTTTGTGAATAATATTTTGCCGAGGAGATCTCCAAGAGGAGCAAAGAGAAGAGCTCTATTTTTTTCTGATGTTTTCACATTTGTATCGTGCTGGAAATGGAGAGAGAGGAAAAAATAAATAAAACAAACAATGAAGTGTATGCATTCAAAATATATATAGTATTAGACTCTAGTGTATTTAGGAGCAAAGCCAATTTAAGAAGAAGAAGAAGAAGAAGACTGCAGCCAGCTGATGCGGATTTTATACAAAACAGAACAAGGACAAAAAAAGATTTCATCATGTGAAATAATAAGTTATGTATTTTTTGTCTGTAGTTGTTGGCTTTATGGCTGTAATACAATGTCAAATAGTACAAATTCTTTGAATAAAAAACATATGTGAAAGAATTTGTGTCCATTTCGTGCTGACAGTGTGTCTGTATCACTATATATATATATGGTAAGGCAGTGGCGCAGTAGGTAGTGCTGTCGCCTCACAGCAAGAAGGTTGCCGGGTTGCTGGTTCGAACCTTGGCTCAGTTGGCGTTTCTGTGTGGAGTTTGCATGTTCTGCCTGCCTTCGCGTGGGTTTCCTCCGGGTGCTCCGGTTTCCCCCACAGTCCAAAGACATGGTGAATTGGGTAGGCTAAATTGTCCGTAGTGTATGAGTGTATGAGTGTGTGTGGATGTTTCCCAGAGATGGGTTGCGGCTGGAAGGGCGTCCGCTGCGTAAAAACTTGCTGGATAAGTTGGCGGTTCATTCTGCTGTGGCGACCCCGGATTAATAAAGGGACTAAGCCGACAAGAAAATGAATGTATATATATATATGGCTATATATATATAAAAATGGTACACAATTTGAGATTATACAAATACAAAGAAAATGAAACAATAACAAAAATACCAAAAACAACAATAATACAGTCAAACACTGACAGGTGCTTGTGTGTGTGTGTATATGTGTGTGTGCATGTAAAGGTAACTTGGTAAACAGGTCAGAGTACATACAAAAGGTACAATAACAGTCATTAAATAAAGCAAGACACAAACACACATATATATATATTAGAGGTGTGAACCTACACTAGTCTCACGGTTCGGTTCGGTTACGATTATCATGCCATCGATTCGGTTCAATTCGATATTTCGGTGCATCACGGTGCATTGACGGTGCTTTCCATACACAGTTTTATATTTTCTTCACAGCAGCATTTCTTGTATTAAAATGTATGAATATATTTATATTTATATACTATTTGTAATACAATTTTGTCATTTAATACAAACAGTCAGATATATAAACTGTAACTTTAAACAAAACAAGCATTTAACAAATAATATAAACAAATATAAATATCCCGCTCGCTTTCTGATCCTTGTCTAGTTCTCTTACACCCCTTTGATTGGTCACACCCTCAAAAAAAAAACGGTTGTGATTGGCTCTTGCACGCTGAGTGATGCTGATAAGCGGCAGGCGGCAGCGGCGATCACAGCTGATGTATGATAGACACGGTGGAGAAAACTCTGCAGACACGCGCTCGTTTCTGTATGCAAAAGTAACGCTGTAAAACAGCCGAGAAGAGAAGAGAAGCCACGCCAGCAGGTCAAATGGGCCACTGTGTGTGAGTGAGAAAGAGAGAGAGAGAAATGGAGTAGGCTACTTTCATTCTCTCGATCTCAGTGAAATAGGGGCTATTGTTGTATATGTCAGTGAAAGACTGATCCAGCAAACACACACAGTGAAATTGTGCACAGTTTATGAGTTTTAAGTAGTTTAAGCGCTGTAAATACTCACGATCGCCTCCCTCGCGACAGAGCGCATATGAGGTAAATGACGTCAGTAATAACCGGTTATGATTATTACTGAACTGATACCGAATTGTCCACATCTGCATCGCGGTGCACCGAAGAAGCGATTAATTTTGACACCCCTATTATATATATATATATATATATATATATATATATATATATATATATATATATATATATATATATATATATAATGCCATCTTCCAGCAGGACAATGACCCAAAGCACACCGCCAACATATCAATGGAGCGGCTTCACAACAACTTGGTGAATGTGCTTGAGGGGCCCAGCCAGAGCCCAGACCTAAATCCTACTGAACATCTCTGGAGAGATCTGAAATGGCTGTATACCGTCGCTTCCCATCCAGCCTGATAGAGCTTGAGAGGTCCTGCAAAGAGGAACGGGCAAACATTCCCACAGACAGGTGTGCATCAAACACAGCAGACAACACTCAAACTACTTGCTCTACAAACAAGTGTGTTCATGACTCTACACAAAAAGTAGAATAATATAATAGAAAATGTCTGTTTGCAACATCAAGCGGCACAGAGAGCTGTTTTTAACATCTAAAAATCAATGGAAGCGGAAGTCTCCAGCCAACAAGCTTCCAATGACTCCGCTCACTCGTACGCCAAGAGTAAGGTTAAAGTATAGAGGTTTGTGATTTCAGACGAATCCAATATGAAAAGTAGTTGTGAGATGAGGCTGTAAATGCTGTGTGGTGTTGTATGGATGCTGGTTTCTTCACTCTGTTTTGTGCCTGATGTCACTCAGAGGATGTGGGATGTGTGTGTGTGTGTGTGTATTGTTTGCAGCTCTGCTTGAGTTGTGGTGTTCGAGCTGAACTTCCGCTCCTCCTCTTCCTCCTGTCTCAGTTGTCTGTATTCTCCTGCCATCAGCGGGCCCCTCAGCAGGCCATCAGCGGGGCCACAGGGATCTCCATCAGGCCTCCGCGGGACCATCTGTGGGCCTCAGATAAGCAGAAGATGGCCCAAACACTGCAGGAGTTCACACACGCTCTGGAGGAGAAACATCTGCCCCGAGTGTTGCACATCCAGTCCGGCATATACTACCAGGGTAAGAGGAGATGCTCACAATTACTTTTTCATTTTACTTTTGCTTTTCAAGAACATTGAGGGAGACCTGGACTAACCCAATGTTGGGTCATTTATTTTCAATTAGTTTAAATGATGCTTTTTGACCCAACATTTTTTTAATCATGCTTTTCAAGCACACTGGGTCAATACAGAGAACCGCATTGTTCTGTTATTGGTTTTTTTTTTGTTGTTTTGTTTTTTTTGATTAAATTTAAAGGATGCTCTTTAACCCAACAGTTGGGTTTGTTCAATAGGGAAAGAGGAGACACTCGTGTTAGTTTTTTATTTTTATTTTTTATTACGCTTTTTAAATACATTGGGGTCAAATATGGACAAACCCAATGTTGGGTTTCACTTATATTTAAATTATGCTTTTTTCTACCCAACAGTTGAGTTTGTTTAACAGGGTAAGACAAGACACTCATATTACTTAACATTTTTTTTTTATAATTCTCATCAAGTAAATTTGGTCAAATATTTGCTTTTTAACTCAATCTTGGGTCATTTTTTTCCACTTATATTTAAATTATGCTTCTTTTTGACCCAACAGTTGGGTTTGTCCAATGATGTAAGAGAAGACACTTATATTACTTTTACATCTTTTATTAAAATTCTTTTTAAAGTAAATTTGGTCAAATATATGATGCTTTTTAACTCAATATTCAGTCATTTTTTACTTACAATTAAATTATGCTTCTTTTTGACCCAACAGTTGGGTTTGTCCAACAGGGTAAGAGAAGACCCTCATTTTACTTTTTAATTTTTTATTATACTTATTTTTAAAGTAAAAAGCATCACATATTTGAGCAAATTCAACTCAATGTTGGGTCTTTTTTTTACTTACATTAAAATTATGCTCTTTTTGACCTAACAGTTGGGTTTGTTTAATAGGGAAAAAGGAGACGCTCATATTATTATTACTTTTTATTACGCTTTTTAAATACACTGGTGGTCAAATATGGACAAACTCAATGTTGGGTCGTTTTTTTCACTTATATTTAAATTATGCTTTTTTTTTACTCAACAGTTGGGTTAGTTTAACAGGGTAAGACAAGACACTCATATTACTTAACATTTTTTTTTTAATAATTCTCATCAAGTAAATTTGATCAAATATTTGCTTTTTAACTCAATCTTGGGTCATTTTTTTCCACTTATATTTAAATTATGCTTGTTTTGACCCAACAGTTGGGTTTGTCCAATGAGGTAAGAGAAGACATTTACATTACTTTTAAATTTGTTATTAAAATTCTTTTAAAAGTGAATTTGGTCAAATATATAATGCTTTTTAACTCAATATTGGGTCATTTTTTACTTGCATTTAAATTATGCTTTTTGACCCAACAGTTGGGTTTGTCCAACAGGGAAAGAGGAGACGCTCATGTATTTTTTTTTTTTATTATTGTTTTTTTATGCTTACATTGGGGTCAAATATGGACCAATCCAACGTTGGGAAGTTTTTTTTTTTTCACTTATATTTAAATCATGCTTTTTTTGACCCAACAGTTGGGTTTGTCCAACAAGGTAAGAGAAGACCCTCCCATAACTTTTTTTACTTTTATTATTATTATTCTTTTCAAGTAAATTTGGTCAAATATGTGATGCTTTGTAACTCAATGTTGGATTTGTCCTTATTTGACCTAACGTTGGGTCACAACAACCCAGCATTTTTCATTTTAGCAATAAACATGAGAAAACAAATGCATAAGCCGTTATTAAACACGTGAGGGGTTGGTGTGTGTAAATGTTAAGGGTATTCGACGTACATCTCTCAATGGAATATGTGCGTACACTCAACACTACCTATTTAAAATGAGCTGAAACAACACAGTTCTTGAGGGTGTTTTTAAGACAACTTAATTGTTTTATGTTCAATCCACTTAAATTGGTCAAAACTAATAAGCTAGCTTAATCCCTTCATGTTTTCCCAACACAAATCGATTGTATGGAACCCAGCATTTATCACAGTCTTTGATCAATGTGTGTGTGTGCTGAGTTTGGAAGGCATAGATTACAGTTAAAGTCAGAATTATTTGAATTTTTTTCTTTTTTAAATATTTCCCAAATGATGTTGAACAGATTCAGGAAATTTTCACAGTGTGTCTGATAATATTTTTTCTTTTGGAGAAAGTCTTATTTGTTTTATTTCGGCTAGAATAAAAGCAGTTTTTAATTTTTTAAAAGCCATTTTAAGGTTAATATTTTTAGCCCCTTAAAATTAGATTTTTTTTTTAATAGTCTACAGAACAAACCATCTTTATACATTAACTTGCCTAATTACTCTAACCTGCCTAATTAACCTAAATAACCTAATTAAGCCTTTAAATGTCACTTTAAGCTGTATAGAAAAATATCTAGTGAAATATAATTTACTGTCATCATGACAAAGATAAAATAATTCAGATGAGTAATTAAAACTATTATGTTTATAAATGTGCTGAAAAAACCTGCTCCCCTTTAACAGAAATTGGGGGGGTAAATGGGGGCTAATAAATCAGGGGGGATAATAATTCTGACTTCAACTGTAAGTAAACAAAAAAAATATTCAATAAAAAGTTGATTCCTCTGATTTACTCAATTGTTTTAAGTTAAGTGATCATAAACAAGTTATTTGGGTTGAATTCAAACAAATTAAGTTGAACTTTACTACATTTAATTTGTTTGTTTAAATTTAACCCATTAAAATTGTTTGCAATAATTTTACAGATTTCTTTTTCAGTGAGGAGAAATCAAACGATACATTGATCATGAAATGACAATTAAAATAACAGCAATAATAGATGCTCATGTCTGCTGTTGATCGCTCTGAATCTGCTTTTCACTTCATTGATGTGTTTTTAAAAGAGCCGTCTCACTTTACTTGTCGCTTTTATTTGTGCAAATCATTGTTTGCTGTTGACAGGCAACTGAACTCATCAAAAATATTCAAGTTACACTAGAGTGTTAAAATATAACCTAAAAAGTTAAAAATTTTCCTATCTAAAGGAGGAGTTTTGTGTTTCATTAGTTTTATTTTTAAGAAGGAATTTCACAAGCTGTGTGCACTTCTGATATTAGCTCAAGTAAAATGACTCCACTGCTAAACTGCCTAAAAGGTTGAAATTGTATTTTATTTGTAATTCTTTTCAGTGCCGCACTCCAAATATTTAGGATTGTTGTAAATATAGAAAAACAAAACAACAACTTGGGATAAAAAGCATTGAAAAATCTGGGCTTGTTTATATTTTAGCCATCGTTTGGTTGTGACGATCCACTTTTTTTTTGAGTGCAGCGCTGAAAAATACAACAGACAATGTCATCCTTTTTGCATTTTGCCACTGAAGATTTGTATGTTTATTACATTTTTATAACTCATAATATTCCTCCTTAAAAAGCAAACTAACTAACGAAATGTAATTTTGGTTCTGTTTTAATTAGCATCCTTGCTACAGTGTAACCATTCATTTATCTACTGAGTAATATTAATTACTTACAGGTATTTACTAAATGGTTAGTAGCATGTAGTTATGCATAATTATTTGTTACAGTTTTTTTAAATTGTTTTGCCACAAATGTCAGAACTCTCAACACAAAACTCTGAACAGTCATTAATTTTACCACAGACTCTCCAGTGCTCAAACCTCTGCCTGCTGCATTCATTTCCTTAAAGACGTCTTGCATTTGCAGGATCAGTGGTTTACATAACCTATTTATCATACAAATACCACAGGAACACAACTTTAGATTAGCAGCACACAGGATACACATTGTTTCAATAAACAATCATTATCAATAATTTAATATAGCTGTTTAAAATTAATCATACAGGTTTCATTTTTATATATATATATATATATATATATATATATATATATATATATATATATATATATATATATATATATATATATATATATATGAATAAAAAAAGTTCATCCTACTCCGTTATGCGCATTATGGCGTTTCCTTGAGCCAGTTTTTGCAAACAGGTGGATGGAAACAGCTAATGAGACCTTAATATTAAGTGCGACCTTTTAAAAAGCTCAACTTTAAACCCCTTGACATTTGATTTACTTTGAATAAATCAATCTCTTTTTAAATAATTAGGAGCTATTTCTAAGTTGCCAGAAGAAATGATTAGCAGAAATTATTCTATTTAAAAAGATCGTGTACTGACATGATTGTGTATAGAAACTGAGGTAATGAGGATTTTGGATTCAGACGGTGTTGAGCGGAAACCCCGCGACTGTCTCCTCTGATGTTCTTAACTGCACATCATATTTCAACACCTTTTCAAAGTGCAGACTGTGCAGAACCCTGCCACTGCATTAATAAACACACACACACACACACACACATATGTGTTCACCCACACCCAGACAGTAGTGAAATGTGAGCGTGTGTGTGTGTGTGTGTGTGTGTTTTGCAGGCTGTGTGTATGAGGTGTTTGGACAGGAGTGTTCTCTGTCCACTGGAGATCTGCTGAAAGTCACAGAGATCACCATCAGCAGATTCAATGCGCTCACATCCAGCAGCACCGAGATACAGCTGCCCGTGGAGTATCCAGGTACACGCGCACATACACACACACGCGCACACACACACACACACATATATATATATATATATATACAGTATACATACAGTTTCAATCAGAATTATTAAACCTCCTTTGAAATTTTTTATTTTTTTTTAATTCCCAAATGATGTTTAATAGAGCACGGAAATGTTCACAGCATGTCTGATAATATTTATTCTTCTGGAGAAAGTCTTATTTGTTTTTTTTTTTTTACGGCTAGAATAAAAGCAGTTATTAATTTCAATATTTCAATATTATGAGCCTCTTTAAGCTATATGTTTTCGATAATCTACAGAACAAACCATCGTTATACAATAACTTGCCTAATTACCCTAATCTGCCTAATTAACCTAGTGAAGCCTTTAAATGTCATTTTAACCTTGAAAAATATCTAGTCATCATGACAAAGATAAAATAAATCAGTTATTAGAGATGAGTTGTTAAAACTAGTATACATACACACTCATACACACATACATATGTACACACAAATATACATATACACACACATTTAACATAAATTAACTAGGTACTGTCGCTAAACCTGAACCATCAGTAACACAATACTGTACAATACAGTGACGCTATAGGACGACGGGACTGTGGACTTGCAGGAGAATTGAGTTGAACGATTGATTGACTTAAAGATCAAAATGTCTACAGTGATAAAAAAACTGAGTCATTTTTCCAGAACAGTGATTTTGTGTTTGTTAGTCATGATGGCCCCGCGTCACTTCAACCACTGACATGTCTGAAATATACAAGAAGACTCATTTATTTTATTAGATTTTAATTTGTTTTATTATATTTATGTTGTGTTTTTGCTCTCTCTCTCTCTCTCTCTCTCTCTCTCTATATATATATATATATATATATATATATATATATATATATATATATATATATATATATATATATATATATATAGTCAGAATTATTTGCCCCCCTTTTAATTTTTATAACTGTTTTTAATATTTCCCAAATGATGTTTAAAAGAGGAAGGAAATTTTCACAGCATGTCTGATAATATTTTTTCTTCTGGAGAAAGTCTTATATGTTTTATTTCGGCTAGAATAAAAGCAGTTTTTAATTTTTTAAAGACCATTTTAAGGCCAATATTATTAGCCCCTTTAAGCTAATTTTTTTTGACCGTCTACAGAACAAACCATCGTTATACAATAACTTGCCTAATTACCCTAATCTACCTAGTTACCCTAATTAACCTAGTTAAGCCTTTAAATGTCACTTTAAGCTGTATAGAAGTGTCTTGAAGAATATCTAGTCTAATATTATTTACTGTCACGCCCAATTCACACAGGGCTTCAGCATCAATCCTTGACTGAAGGCGTGTCTGAAGTTGGCGCTGACGCGATCATCATAGCAGCGTCAGCCAATAAAATTCAGTCAGCAATAGGCCACTGTCTAAGCTCGTGTATTTGCAAACAGTGATTTGATTGGCTGACGCTTCCGTCGGCGCTTGAAAAGTTGAGCTAGCCCCAACTTCTGCAAACTTTTCCCTGTGTGAATGGGGCGTCATCATGACAAAGATAAAATAAATCAGTTTTTAGAAATGAGTTATTAAAACTATTATGATTGCAAATGATTAGAAATCTGCTCTCCGTTAAACAGAAATTGGGGAAAAAAATAAACGGGGCAAATAATTCCCACTTAAACTGTATATATATATATATATATATATATATATATATATATATATATATATATATATATATATATATATATATATATATATATATATATAAATTTTTTAAATGTTCCCCAAATTATGTTTAACAGTTTCAGGAAATGTTCACAGTATGTCTGATAATATTTTTTTTCTAGAGAAAGTCTTATTTGTTTTATTTTGGCTAGAATAAAAGCCCCTTATTAGCCCCTTTAAGCACAATTTTTAACCTAGTGAAGCCTTTAAATGTCACTTTAAGCTCTACAGAAGTGTCTTGAAAAAGAACTAGTAAAGTATTGTTTACTGTCATCATGGCAAAGATAAAATAAATAAAATAAATATAAATGATTAGAATTAAGTTATTAAAACTATTATGTTAAAAATGTGTTTAAAAAAATCTGCTCTCCGTTAAACAGAAATTGGGGGGAAACTTCAACTGTGTGTGTGTTTATGTATATATGTATATATATATATATATATGTATATATATATATATATATATATATATATATATATATATATACATACATATCATCTTATATATATATTATCTTATATATAGATCATCTTAAGGGAGTTAATAATATTGACCTTAAAAATAGCTAAATAAAAATTAAATAGCTAAAAAAAATATATAAAAACAGCTTTTATTCCAGCCAAAGTAAAAGAACCATGCACAAATATTATAGTAAATAATGTGAACTAGTTTTTTGTTTTTGGTCTGTTAAACAGCCCTTGTAAAATTTTAGAAGAAGAATTACAATTTCACAAGAGGGAAGTTTCAACTGAATAAATGAATGTCGATTTATTTGTCTTTTAAAGCTTGACACATTTAAATATTCTGGTTGCAAATATTCTGGTCATGTTTCTTTAGAGGTTAATATATTGTATATATATTTATCTATAAATGTGTATATTTGTACTTGTGTTTTTTTTTGTATTGTCTTGTTGCATTAGCTGATGTCTGACAAACAAACAAATAAATAAATAAATAATGCAATTGCAAGAAGCTGCAAAAACATTGTTAAACATACAGAACAAAGTTAAAGGTTGCACATTTACAGTCATTTTACAGTGTTAACACTTTAGTTTCAATACCGATTCACGCCATTGTCCTCTGCATGACAGGTTTGTTCAAACTGATGGCCGACAGTCAGCCGTACAGGAGCATTCAAGAAATTGCTGATTCGCTAAAGATCGGGCCTCAGCGTGTGGCACAGCCTGTCTTCCTGAGCGCTGTGGATGTAGATCTGGAGCCGGGCCTCGTCCTGCGCAGACGGGACAGTTTCAGGATCACTGCGGTGGAGTGGAGCTGCGGACGAGTGCACTGTGAGCTCCTGCACCGAGAGCCTCCAATCTGCTTCAGCCTCAGCTTCTGCCAGCAGGGACCCTTCAGCGAGTGCCAGGACCACCAGTGCTACACGCTGAAGGAGATCGCCGACTGGAAGATCCCCAGAGGCAGAAAGAGGAGCGTCGTCGAGGTCAAAGCGCCCGCCAAGAAGAACTTTTTATTTTCCGGTTTGCTGGAGAACGTGTGTGGAGAGTTGCTGCTGACTCCTGTGTACGAGCTAAAGGCTATCTCCAGACGTGAGTGCAACTTTTGTGTCGTTTTCATTTACAAACACAGATGTGTTCCAGTGTTAAAGGGTTACCAAACACATTTTTTGAGTTGTTGACAGTCTTAGACAGTTGAACCAGAAGTTTACATGCACTCTAAAAAAAGAAACATAACCATTTTTATAAAGATGTCTGATGGTAAATGATACTAAACATTTACTCTTTTAGGTCTGTTAGGATTACCTAAATGATTTACATTTGCTAAATGCCAGAATAATGAGAGAATTTGTTTTTGAGAATTTTTTATTAATTTCTAGTCAGTCAAAAGTTTACACACATTTCCTTGGTATAGTTTTAGCTTTGCTTTTAAACTTTGGTCAAATGTTTTGGGTCTCCTTCCACAAGCTTCTCACAATAGTTTGCTGGAATTTTGGCCCATTCCTCCTGACAGAATTGCTGTAACTGAGTCAGATTTGCTCGCACAAGCTTTTTTAACTCTGCCCACACATTCTCTATAGGATTGAGATCAGGGCTTTGTGATGGCCACTCCAAAACATTCACTCTGTAGTCCTTAAAGCACATTTGAACTAATTTGGTAGTATGCTTAGGGTCATGGTCTATTTGGACCCATTTGTGGCCAAGTTTTAATGTCCTGGCTGATGCATTGAGATGTTGCTTCAGTATTTCTCCATAATGTTCTGTCTTCATGATGCCATCTATGCTGTGAAGTGGACCAGTCCCTCCTGCAGCAAAACAGCCCCACAACATGATGCTGCCGCCCCCATACTGCACAGTTGGGATGGTGTTCTAGGCTTGTTGATTTCCCCTTTGTCCTCCAAATGTAACACTGCTCATTATGGCCAAACAGTTCAATCTTAGCTCCATCAGAGCACAGGACATGTCTCCAAACATCAGTCTATCCCCAGTGTCATTCAGCTAACTGTAATCTGGCTTTGTGTTGATTCTGGCTTGCTGATTTTCCCATGTTGTCACACAAGGAAGCAGTGTGTTTGAGCTTTTCCTTCAATACTATTCTACAGTTGTGCCTCACATTAACTCAAACGTTGTCAATTAGCCAATCAGAAACCTTGACATCATCATCTGAGCTTTTCCAGAGGCAGAATAATCTGATTGTGTGCAAACTTGACTTCCAACAAGAGTTATAACAACTTCTCAAACAATATCTCTCTCTCATTATTCTGCTATTAAGCAGAACAGAAACACGTGATCATCCTAACTTACCTAAAAGAGAAACAGTTTAGTCACATTAACACCTGACTTTAAAAAAATTGTTATGTGCCTTTTTATGCAGTGTATGTAAACTAGGAAGTTTCTGGTAAATCTAGTAAGACCTTGATTAGCTGGATCAGGTGTGTTTGATTAGGGTTGGAGCTAAACTCTCCAGGACACTGACCCTCCAGGACCGAGTTTGGACACCCCTGGTTTACATGTTACACATTATCATCCTCTGAATAATGTCTTGTCCGGTCTCGCTGCCCTTCTGAAGTAACTTCCAAATTGATCTTGATGCCAAATCTCCTACTGAAAGGATAGCGACTCTTTGTTTTCAAGTTTGTGAGTATTCGAGTATTTGCTGTCATCCCTGCTGAAAAATCCAGCTTAAACCAGCCTAGGCTGGTTAAAGCTGTTTCTTTCAGTAAGGATGTGCTGTTGATGAAATTGACAGTATCTTGCATTAGTTTCACACAGTTTACAAAACCATGTAGTTGGTTTGTTTTAAAGTAGATATTTCAAGCTTTGGATCTGGACTGATTCCCAAAGAACCATCAGTTTATAATGATTGATGATTGGCTCCTGCACAAGAAGGCGGTGCTTTATTCTCCATATTGACCGCTTCTCATTCCCCCATTCAAAACTATTCGAGGGACACATCGTGTGTATTTTATAGTCTTTGCTGATAGAGAGTGTTCCTTTAACCCTGAACTCTTTCTTCCGACAGTCAGCGAGAAAGTTCTGCTCATCCCATCCAATCTGGACGTGGAGGTAGTGGACGTGACAGAACAGTATGATTGCGACTCCTTTGTGCAGCCTTTATCTCTGATGGACGTCTACAAGAGACCACCGCAGTTTTTCCCTGTGCTGGCCAAGCTGTCCAGTGAAAACCATTTCAGACTCTCTCCCGACCTGGAGTCCCTTTTCCAGTCCAAAGAGGTGATTATTCATCACCCTTTCAAAGCCAAACGAATTCTAGCCTCGGAAATGTGCCAGGAGTCCGCAAGACATTTTCTCATCCCGGAGTCCTACAACGGGCGCTTCAAGCGGCGTCCGCGGCAGTTCTCCACTGCATATGACCTAGAGCGGGCGCGCAGTGAGACCGAGGAAATCCGGGTGGTCGCCACCAAAGACTTCGAGACTGTGTACAGCGGGCTGGCTTCGGTTCAGGCTGGAGAGGAGTTTATAGTGACTAAAGGTCAAAGCTGCGCCGTTTCACACAACGGCACTGAGAAAGTGGCGGATACCTTTGAATGTGTGAAAGTAAAAGCAGAGGGGAAGGAGCCTGTGCGTCTCCCCATGTGTTTGGAGGGGGGATTCATGGAGCTGGTTAAAGACAAGCGTCAGTACACCATCGCAGAAATATGCAGATGGTTCCCGCTGCCCTTCAACGTCAAGGTGTCCGTGCGGGACCTCTCTCTGAAGGCAGACATCTTGGCTGGAACGCCTAGTCTGCACATCGAGGAGGAGATCTCAGACCCGTGTGTCCTGGTCTCAAACACGGACCTCTCAGACTTCAGGGAGGTGCCAGTAAACCGTACAGACTTGATATTTAACGTAAAGCAGCGATGGGACGGAGAGAGTCCGAAGTTTAGTGTGAAATCAGCCATAGAGGAGATCTCAGAAGACTGTTACTACACTATTAGAAGGTACGCCATCGCTACCATTACACCTCCACCACGACCTCCCAAAAAACCCAAGGATCCACCGCCACGACCTCCAAAAACATCCAGGTCTGAAAGCACAAACAGTGAGAGCTCCAGCTGCTCCCCGAAGGTAAACCATTTGACTAGTGTTTCCTAATCACTTTATGTTTATATCTC